AACTTGACTCCTTTAAATGCTAAAGTCTGTCAGACTGTCTTCATTGGAAGCCTTCCAGAATTTCCCTCCCAATGCTTTGACTTCTTTGGAAGCCCTGAGAATGGTGGAAGCTGCCTCAGGACACTCAGTCATCACCAGTAGTCCCTTGTGGGGTGACTGCATCTGCCCAGACTCTTGGCGCTTTCTGCTATCCCTTGCAGCCGAGCTCTGCTTCTCAGTCACTGCCAGGTATGAAGTGGATGCTTGAGCTCCAAGATTCACTCTGCCACTCATACCCTCTATCCATGGCACTGTACTTGAGAGCTGAGCTTGAGGTCTCTTCTGCTGCAGAGGAGAGCCTCCCCTCCACTTCCAGGTCCCGCTTGGAAGTGGTGTCCGGCACACTGCTGTCCTACAGGGCCAAGTTAGGACTGGAGCTCCAGCACTAAGGACCTGGTTTTCCTCCCTGTCCTTCCCTGAAGGCAAGTGGGCTGGTTGCCACTGAGCAGGAGGTAAAGGGGACAGTAGCCCTACCTCTTGCCAGGGGCCTCTGCCAATGAGACTCAGATGGATCTGAGACAAGCCTGTGTAGTACCTATAACTTTAAATTTAAAAAGCCATGTGCTACTTATGGGCTCTCGAGGCAGCTCCGCACAGCAGCCCCTTAAAGACCATGTTATAGTATGAGCCGTTATGCACCGAGTTTACTGTATATACATTTCTAAATGGTTCAGCAAACAGCAGCCTACTTACGGGCAGGGAAGGAGAACTGCTTCATTTGGGGTAACAAATGATCCTTGATTTGATTTTAAATGCAATGACAGCCAAATTTATTTCTTATTTAATCACTTGCCTGCGCTGCAGAGAGCAGGGTGATATTAAACTCCACAATGCAGAGCAGACTCTGGAATCAGCGAAAGAGGCAGGCGAATAGATTATGTTTATAGGGCAGAGCGAGATTGTAGCGCCAAGCACGTAATCAGAATGGGTATTTTTGTCATTTATACAGTAGCTTATATCATTATTTCTTCCTGCTTCCAATTTTTCAGTAATAAAAATATAGGCAATGTGATTCTCTTTGCATTACAGATAAACCATCTTGATTCTTTATTAAATATTTTTATTAATCTGAAGTACTAGAAAGCATCTGAGCCAATAAATCAGGCTGGGAGCAGCCGTTTTCCCCCTGCTAGCGCTCCACAAAGCAGTTTCATTTATGAGCGTGCAATACCGGGAAAGGCCCCAGGTTCACCCCAGGTTCCCTCTGTCACCGCTTTACGGCCATGTGTACTCAGCAGAAGTGGTGCTAACGGGATATTTGTTCTTCAGAATCCAATCTGTTTGGGTAATCGCTCCACAATCCCTGGTTTGTGTTCTATTTAATTAGGATTTACTACTCGGGTATCACTCTCTGTGCTAGCCAGACTGAACAGGGAAGGGGAACCCCAGAGTGCCAGAAAAGGATGGAGCAGAGCCTAGATATGTTTGGGAGGCCATGCCCAGGGTCAGCCGGCTACAGGAGTCCTGGTCTTCAGGGGAGGGTCAGCCACAGTTGGAGGGTCTGATGATAGGGAGCCAGCTTTGGCCTGGCTTCTCATCCCCAGGTGGCCTGGATTGAGCCTACTTGTCCTCCTCCCCTGGTGGGGACATGAGGTGAGGGAGACAGTCTGGGGACATCAGTGGACACAGTGCCCTGCTGGAACACTCTCTTTCCAGCCCCTGCTGTAGACCCCTCTCAGAGCTGGTCACTGTCACTTTCCCAGTCCCTACTCAGGGCTGTAGGCATGGTCGTCTCCTTCCTGAGCTAGCTGTCTCCACCCCCCACTCCTTGTCCTCTACTCTCTCCCCATGTTCTTACTCTCCAGCCAAAAAGCCACTCAGTTCAGAGATGACAGCTCTGTATGTGCTAGCACTGACACTCACTGACCCCCTGCAAAAGCCACCCTCCTACTATTTGTGTGGCCCCTACCCCCATCCTGTCTGGACTATCCCAAATGGTGAGGGACCACCATCCCCCCCGCTTCAGGGTCTCTTCTTTCTGCTCCCTGAGTCCTCCCCACTGATGGTAGGCTTGCTGACCACATGGTTGGGCACTCATCAAGATTTGGATCAGCTCCGGACTCTGCCATCCTGGGCCTGGTGGCCTAAGCGAGCCCTGCCCACATTAAACACCCAGTGTCCTCCTGCAGACAAACGTCCACACCCACCTACTGGCTTTGTCCCCATCACCGGGCCTACCTGGCAATGACCCGGCCCTGAAGGACACTCTATGTGTGCCTGCCCCAGGCAATGCTGGAGGCCGCCTTACATCCATCAGAGGGAATCAAGAGAGCCAGGGCGGGGAAGGAGATGGGGGTGGACAGGATGGGGTGGGGCGGGGTGGAGGTGAGGACAGGGATGGGGAGGATGGTGCAGAGAGAGGCAGCTGGAATGCTGAAGTTGGAGTGACCACAAAGCAGCCCCACAGGAGGGAAGAGCCTGCACCTCTGTGGGGCCCTGTGCTGGCAGAGTGACCAGAGGACACTTTCAGAAAACCCCTGGGCATACCCACATGCTTGTGCTCAGTGTGGGGCATTCAGTGTCGAGCATCCCCATGACAACCTGCAGTGGCAGGAGTTCATGTCCCGATTTTCTACTGCCAGCCCCAGGAGCCAGAAGTGGCCAGGCTCTACCCCTGTAGGGCTCCTCAGGTCCTCATCCAAGGCAAGTAGGGCAGGGGGCCTTCCCCACCCCGTCATCTCCAACTCTGGCTTTGCTGCCCCACAAGCAGGCCACGGGTGTCTGTGGGCCTGGGCCGTGCACTGTGTGTGTCTGGGTACAGGCAGTGCCTGAGGCTCAACCATGGCTACTAAAAGTGCTGAGTGGAGGAGGAACAGGACACCGTCTGGCTGGGCACCAAGAGAACGCCGTGTTCCTGCCACCTCCTCAGTGGGACCAGATCTGAATGCGACTCACGTGCCCAGGCCCTTCTGCCAAGTCGGAGGCCAGTGATGACTGCCTGGCCACTGGGCCACCCCCATTCCTCCCTCCAAGGCCCTCCAGGGCCGGTCAGCTGCCTGAGGCGGCCTGAGACTCTGCCATCCGAAAAGCTCTGGTTTTGTTGGAGGGAGATGGTGGTTAGGGGAGGATGGGAGGGAAAAATTTCTGGGAACCACTCAGGACAGCCAATCACCGCCCTCTGGTTCCCCGTCTCAGTGACAGGAGTGCAGCCAGACACACAGGGCCGCTACACTTCTATTCCTCAGAGATTGAATCACAGGCCAGCATTGCCAGGTGACCTGCCACAGTCCCGTGGGAAGCAGGCCCTCTAGGCACTGGGTCCCACTTGACTTGGTTGCCCCAGGAGCTGTCCAAAAACACGTAGGCTACAAGAAGACTGATGTCCCTGGGGGCTAAAAACCCCAACCTCCTAGGGTCAGAGCCTCCCAAGAGCCAGTCCTGTTCAGGAGGAGGCAGGCCAAGCACTAAAGAGGGTGGTGGGTCCCCAAGTGCCCAGGTTGGCTGGCTTCTTTCACTGGCCTTGCCAGGCTCTTGAAACTAAGTTCAAACCCAGTGTCCAGTTAACTTCTCAGGACCTTGCTCCAGTAAATCATGACCCTGTGATCCTTATGGTGGAAGAGGAGAAGGGATCATGTTTGAGAAAGGGGTAGGTGGCTTTGACAGGGTCATGCCAGGGAGCAGGCCACCCCTGCAGGGGGTGGGGACACTGACAGGGGTCCTTACTCTGCCCAACGCTGCCCCCGACTATGCACTGTTGGCAGGGCCTGGTGGAGCCTCCAGCCCCACTGGCCTGGGATGAGGGTCAGCCTGGCCTCTTTTTCAGTTTTGTTCTTACACCTTTCCAAGGTTTTCTCCTGACCAGGCAGAGAACTTCCTTGTTCTCAAGAGACTGTCTGCACTGCTTGGGAGGTGGGACAGGAGTGGTAGTTTTGAGTTTAAAGAAGGGAGGACCCGGGTTGGGGAGAGAACCCCAGGAGCCCAGTGTGTGGGGATGGAGGGCCAATACCGGCCCAAACTCAGACTCCTGCCCTGTCCTGCAGAGGGGCCGCTGTTGGACACTCCTGAGCTTCCACTAGACACCTAGGGTACAGCCCCTGGACTGAACTCCCAGGTTTCATCTGGGAGCCGAGAGTCCCTGGGGAAGTGGAGTTCTCCAGCTCTCTGCGGACAGACACCAACTGGGTGCTCAAATTCTGCTACGTTTTGACAGTAACTACCGGAGCCAGGGCAGACCTTGCAGGGTAAGATTCAGACCCACAAGACACCAACACAAGTTGGTACCTCCTACACTCCTGATGACCAGCCACAAATCAGGGGTCCCCATGCTCCTCCTTAGGTCGGATAATTTGCTAAAAGGACCCACAGAGGGCCAGGAATGGTTGCGTGGGCGGTGGAGATCAGAGGATCTTGGTCTGAGGGGACACTGACCCCCACAGCCCGGCAAAAGGAAGACACTACCTGAAAATAAAAGCTCAAAGCAGAAAGGTTCAGGGTATGACTCAAGTGGTGAGCGTGCCTGCTTAGCATATCCCAGACCCTGGTGCCATCTCCAGCACTGAAAAAAACTCTGCCAGAACAACAAAGTATTCTGAGCATGTTGCCAGTGAGTTCTGGGGTGAGGTGTGGTGTTGGGAGAACCTCATCCTTCACAGGCTGGCATGTCAAGCCCCACACAATCCCTCCAGCCCCAGGCCACTTTGCAGGGGTGCGGGACACATGAGGCTGCTCCCTGGACCCGGCCATCCCTGGGCACAGAGCTGTTGCAGCTGCCTCCATTGCATGTCTGAACCCCGGCTGCAGGATGGCGCCGGCTGAACAGCAGGTGAATAACATCAGCCCCCAAGGAGGGGGACCCAGGGGAAGGGCCCTGCAGAGAGACAAGGGGGCCCAGTGCTCAGGAGAGATTTCAGAGTGAGAGTGGCTGGAATAACCACATTTTAACCCATCATAATGTAGATAGTTGTGTTATGAAAAACACCAGAAAGCCATTAATGTAAATCATGAAATATTCAGTAAGGAAGTCACTTAAATGTCTTGTGTTCCCAGAAGTGGTGCCCAGAGTTTCCTGTACCGGGCGCCAAACACCAACTCCTTAGCGTCTGCAGAGGCTGCTCGTGCTGCACAGGAAGCCTTGGCTCAAGTGGCCGGCAGTGGACCCCTGTGCCCTCACCACCAGGGAGGGGAGAGAGGCGCAGCTGGGACCACAGCCACTACCTCCCCTCGTGTGTCATCAAAAGGGACAATCAGCTTGCAAGCCACTCCTTTCGGTAGACTCATCAGCACACAGCCCTGCCTTCAAGGATGGTGAGAAGGGCTGGCGGCGTGGCTCGAGTGGTGGAACAACAGCGGTGAGAAAGGCAGCCGCCCTTGCTTTCACTCTTGCCCTTGGCTTTCGCTCCTGTTGGTTGTTCCTGTCCACAGTCTGGGTCATGTGGGCCGTGAACCAGGAGTCCAGGATTTGGGTCCAGATCTGCTTGGCTCCAAAATTGTGCTCTGAGCCACTATCTTACTAACCTCTAAACAGCTATCCACTCCAGAAACACTGAACGAAACAAAAACAGAAAACACAAGTCAAAGAAGATGAGGCAAGTGAGGAGGATGTCTACCACCAAAGCAGAAAGCGTGTGTCATGAGGATGAGGGGATTCCACTCCTGGAGACCCAGGGTGGGAGTGTGAAGAGGTGCAGCCCCTGTAGAAAACAGGATGGTGGTTCTTTAAATCATTAAGGATGAACCCAAGAATTCCATGTGACCCAGAAATTTCTCTTTCGGGTCTATACCTGAAAGAAGTATAAGCAATTTTTTGGGGGGGAGGTGGGACTAGGGTTTAAACTCAGGGCTTTGAGTTTTCAAAGCAGGCGCTCTACTGCTTGAGTGACACCTCCAGTCCACTTTGCTATGGTTATTTTGGAAATGGGGTTTTGTGAACTATTTTCCCAGACTGGCCATGTACCGTGATCCCCCTGATCTCAGCCTCCCAAGTAGGCATGAGCCACAGTGCCCAGCAAGAAAATTTTGCACACCCATGTTCATACTCAATAACCAAGAGGTAGCAGAAACCTGAGTGGTCATCAGCAGGAGACAGATAGACAAAATGTGGTTCATACATATACTCAGCCTTCCAAAAGAGGAAGGGGTCAACAGGGTGACCCCTGAGACCATCACACTGAGGGAAACGAGCCAGACACAAAAGGACAAGCATGTGGGATTCCACTTATGTGAGGTCCCCAAAGTCACCAAAATCACTGACACGGTAGAGTGGTGGATGTGCAGCTGGTGAGGGAAGGGCAGTCAGAGTGTCAGGTTGGGAAGATGAGTGAGTTCTGTGGACGTTGTCACAGTGGTGACGACTTCCACACAGTGTGGGTGTGCTTATTGCCATTCAACTGTGCAGTTAAGTGAGTTTTACTCTATGTGAATTTTACTATAATTTTAGAAAATAAAAAGATGAGGATGGTGAATGTTGATGAAGGTTCTTTCATGTCAGGGGTCGCTGGTGGCACAGGGATCCACAGCAGACCAAGAAGGATGGCTTTGGCCAGGAGTGGGGCAGGTGAGGGGTTTTCAGCACCCTGGAGAGAGACATGGTGTTCCCTGGGTTGCTGAGGACTCTTTGGTCATGGGGAGCAGAAGGTCCTGGTCTTCTGGGCTCTGCTCCTTCCCTTTGGTAGAAGCAGGGCAGGTACTTGCTGAGACTTACCAGGACTTGGTCTCTCCAGCCAGGTGATCACAGGGCTCCCCTGGTGAGAGGACAGAGTCTCCCAAGCTGTGCACAGGAGGGACCCTGCCCTGTAGTGGAAAGGGCTGTAAGGCCCTGGAGGGCAGGCTGGGCCCATAGCAGCCTTGGAAAATCGGTTCCCATCCTGCTATGCACCCTGTGATCTCAAGAAGACTCCTGCCCGTCTCTGGGCCTCTTGGCCTCATCCATGATCTTCATAGCTTCCTGGGACCCAAGACAGAAAAGACGCAGGTAAATCTGGCACAGGGAGGGGACAGCTCTGGTTCCTTTGCTTGTGTGCACCTGGCCTGAGACTTTGTGGCATCACACTTTCACCTGGAGTGGTGGGACCCCCCTAGGAGGGCTGCTGCCCATCTTGTCACAGGGATACCAGGGGGTGTGCTGCTGGCATTTAGTGCCTGGGAGCTAGGACTCTAAAGGTCACTCATGACTGAGACAGCCCTGCCACTAAGGATCCTCCACCTACAATGCCACTGTGACAAATAGCTTCAAGTCCCATACTCCCCAGAAGCCAAGCCTGGAGAGGTCCTGGTGCTCACAGTCTCTGTGATGTGATGCCAGTACAGTGAGGCTCTGGTCCTGATCCGGTAGTTTCCACAGGGGCTACTGACGCCTGCCCCATGCAAAGCACCACCAACCGACTGGCAGCCCTAAGGTTGATCAGATGCCCAGATCCCGGGGAGGCCTATAGGACAAAATTTTGATTGTAAGTAGGGAGGACTGTACGCCCCTGGGGCAGAAATCCCACTTCTGTATGCATTTCCTATATCATTCTGGAAAGTGTACGAGGTGTGACACGACTCTCAACATGAAAACACAGTCCACTCTCGGCAGTTCTCTGTAGCCACACTTTGTAAATACAGCTCACCCTCAGGGTAGGCCTGTGTCATGGCCTTCCTTGGGGATCATTTAAACAGCCAAGTGCAAACGTGGTGATGAGCTGACCCACGTATGCACACTGTGGGTTGAGGTGATAGACAGCAGGACTGGAGGGGGAGAAGCAAGCACAGGCCCCAGGGGATCCCAGGCAGGGACCTAAGTCTGGGGCGGCAGGGAGAGGGGCCTAACTCTAGCCTACCAGGCTTTGCCACAGGTGCTGCTTGAGGTGAGTCTTGGGGTGAATGAGGGGAGAAAAACTGGGGCACAGAGGGCAAGGGAGCTGTGGTCAGCCAGTTTCTAGGAAGCTGACCTTTCCTGGAGCCTCTGGGATAAAGTGGTAGCTCCCCCTGGACAGGCTGGGCATAGGGAGGCTGCCATGGTCCCAGCCCTGGGTGGCCCTCCCACTCGCCATCACTCGTCTCTGAAAGGAGGCTTCTTAGGAAGAGCTTCTTCCCATAAGAACAATTATAGGAGAGCATCATGAATCTGATTTTCCACTTAAATGTGTATTTAGTGAATTGCTGTGGTTTATTGGGCACTTGGACTCGCCTGTAATTGCCTTAAATGACAGAAATGGCCCTGGGAAGCTGTTCCAGGGAAGCTGTGCAGGCTCCGTTCCCCTGTCCAGGTCTGGGGTGCCATCATTTCTGCTACATCAAAATACACAATGTAAGCATTAGACCGGAGGCCCTGGTCCTTTGTCCTTCCTAATCTGAGGCAGCCGGAGGAGTACAGGAACACCAGCTCTGCCATGAGGTGGACCCCGAGTCTAATCTTGGTTCGCTCGCTACTCCCGTGTTATAGAGGAAGAAATAGAAGCGCAGAGAGGTTTAGTATTCTTCCTAAGATCACACAGCAAGCCAACAGCAGCAGCTGGATTTGAACTCGGTGTCTGTTTGAGTCCACAGCCAAGCTTTGATCTTGTCACCCCAATCACAGACTGTCGTGGCCCAGTGCACTGAGTGGCTGCAAAGATGCAGGAACCAAAGGGTGGACGGTCTGCCCTTTGTTACATGTTGAGCGGAAGGGTGAACGGCCCCTCCTCAGCTCGGTCAGCCCCTGTGCCCACAAGCTGACAGCATGTCAGGACGGAATGCAGGGTGACCTGGCGTCCCTGGTCCCCCAGCGTGGCAGGGACTGCCCCTGCTGTGTGGTTGAGTGCCCGCTTCCCGGCTGACCAGAACAGCCACTGTCATCTCATTATTTTAGGAGCTGGAGAATTATTATTCATGACAGTGAGCTTAAAAATGAAATAATAAGTCTGTCTTTTAAAAAGCAAATTGCGGCGCTGGAATATTCATGAGCTGTGACTTCATGGGAGTCGGCAGTGCAGTGCGGGAAGATTAGCATTCGGTTAAGTCAGCAGCGGAGGAATTTAGGGAAATGCGCTTGTCAGGCTGAGGAAGCGCGTGATTAATACTTTCCTGTTTGCGCGGCCCCTTAACGGGCACATTTTTAATGTAATAATTAATTAACCTTGGGATCACTCACCCCTCACGGAGGGCGGGGCTCCGTTCCTCCTGCGCAAGGACCCTGGAGACCGGGCGCCCAAAGGCCGAGGCCAGACCTCAAGAGAGGCCTGTCCCGGGGAGGATGGGGCGGCCAGCTCTGGGTGCAGGCAGGGCAGGGCGATGGGGACACAGTGTTGTACTAGCAAACGCCCACAACCAAGAGGTCGTGGCTGGTGTAGTGAGTGAGTTCAGGAGGCTCCACCTGGAATCTCAGAAGGTGGCTTTATTTGGAAATGGGGTCTTTGCAGATGTCACTAGTGAAGGGGCCTAAAATGAGAGTATCCTGGAGTTAGAGTGGCTCTAAATCCACTGGCCAAGTCCTCTTAAGAGGAGAGGCCACAGGGAGACACGGGGGAGAGGCCACATGACCAGGAGGCAGAGCTTGGAGGGAGGCAGCCATGAGCCGCTGGGAGCTGGGAGAGGCCTGGGCAGGGGTTTGGTCAGAGCCTCCAGGGGGACTTGCCCTATTGGGACTGTGACACTGACCTCAGAACTGGGAGAGGAGGCACTCCTGTTGTTTCCAGCAACAGAATCACCCTGGGAGTTGTGGTGCCTTGTTAAGGCAGTCCTGGGACACTTGACAGTCGACAACTGTCATGGGAGGCGCTGAGGCCAGCTGAGGGCGGCCATGGGGAGGAGAGAGAGGTCTCCCCAGAAATTGCATTGTGGGGTCTGGTGCTGGCCTTTGCAATGAGCAGGACAAGCGACCAGAAGCTAGGTCCCTCTGCTCTAGGCATTGGGGTCTCTCATTGTAGGGGACTGGAACACAGATATGTTTCTCAAACTGGTTCCCATTGTACCCAAAGGGGCATGGGAGCTGAGAGGTCAGTCCCTCCCACTTCTTCCCTTGTGCTGCCCACTCCCAGGACCCTCCTCTGGCCATGCTGCTCCTTTGGGCTCTGTGCACCCCACTCTGCAGCTTACCACTGCTCCCATCTGGGCTCCAGCTCCAGGCCTGCAGAGTGTTTGTGGGTTGAAAGTGGACATGCCAGCCAGGCCCCATGGTGCCCAAGCATGCACTCATAAGTGCCACACACACCCATGTTGACATGCATGCCCACAGACACGAACATGCACACACTCACAGTGCCATACAAATGCACTCAGACACACACACACACACCCCTCACTCACCCGCACAGCGCTCAGCACCCTCAAATGCCCACTCTGGGCAGGACAGCAGCTCTCCTGCGCCCTCTAGTGGTGACTGTGAGGCACTGCAGCCGCCGCCTTTTTGAAAGGTTTGCAGTTTGGTGAGGTTGTCCCCAGTTTGGTTTGTGGGAGGGGAGAAGACGCGTATCTGTGTGTGGGGGGTGGGGTACAAGAGGACTGGGCAGGGCAGGGGGTGGGAAGGATGGCCATGTCTTCAGCAGCCGCCACCAGGGCCACTCAGCTCCTCCAGGGATCTCTTGGCACAAGGGCTGGACTGGAGTGGTCAGCTCACTCCAGGCCTTGGGGCCAGGCCTGCTCTTTCCTGACCACAGGCCTCTCTGGTCCCCTGCTGGGCCCTGGGCCTGCCTTGCTCAGACCAACTAAGGCTAGGGAGCTGGTGTGCAGGCAGGATCCACATGGTGTGCCTCTTGTAACTGAATTCTAGGCCAGAAGCCCAACTCCAGGTATTCCACAGTACTCCAAATAAGAGACAAGTAGTGGTGACGAGCAGAGAAAGGGAAGAGGCAAAGTAAGAATTTCAGCCCGTCTTGGGGCACAGACATGAGGTTAAATAGAGGAAGAATTGGGGCAGGGGGAGAGAGGTGTACATAACTAAGCAGTCCCAGGAGAAGCGGGAGCTGGTTGATTACTGTCTCAGTTAGGTTCTGTGAGGGGAGCAATCTGGCTCTCACGAGATCATTGCCCCGCTCCAGGGTGCAGCCCTGCACCTGAAGACATAGCTAATTGTCTTCATTTGGAGGGGTGATCTGTCCTGCCAGGCTCTGCTGCTCCTTTCCTTAGGAGCCTGCTCATGAAGATGTTGTCAATCAGTCCTGCCCTTCCTGGAACCCAAGGTGATTGCAGGGGAGCTCAGAGTAAAGGACAGAGATATAGCCCAGTGCCGGTGGCTCACACTCATGATTCTAGCAGTAGGGAGTCTGAGATCGATAGGATCATAGGATCGTGGATTGCGGTCAGCCAGGCAAACAGTTTGTAAGACCCCCATCTCTAAAATAACCAGAGAAAAATGGACTCGAGGTGTGGCTCAAGTGGCAAAATGGCTGCCTTGCAAGTGTGAAGCCTTGAGTTCAAACCCCAGTCCCACTAAAATTAAAGAGTTTTAAAAAAAAAGGACACAGATGTAAAATGGAGGCTGGGATGCTGTGCTTTTCTCCTACTTTCAGTTAATTCATGGGCTCAAGTAAGGAGCCAGTGTTTCTTAACCAAAGCAGTTCTAAGTACCCATTATCCTATTCCTGAGGAAAACAGGAGTGGGAGGACATCCCAGAGGGCTATGACCACAGGCTATCTGGCTCCTACTTAGCTTCGTGGGCTGGGGTGGGATGGGATAGGCAGTCCATTGTGGAGGTGGCAGTGGGAGTCTGGGAACCTCGGGGGTCCAGCCTGGTCCTGTAGCTGAGGGAAGTTCTGAGAGCACCCCAGAAACCCCTCTGTGATTCCTTTTCTGCCAGAAGTGGCCAGTTTCTGTTGCTGCAGTTAGGACCTCCCAGAGGCTGCCTGGCCCCACCTGGGAACATGGGCTCATTGTCCACCAGACTGGGAATTCCTTGTGACCTTCCCCTGCTGCCTCCCCAGGCCTGTTAGCAGGTACTAAATAAACAGTATTGGACCAAGGTCAGGTGTGCAGCGGCATTCTCCAGAAGCAGAGGCTGAGATGGAGTTCCTGGCACATGGTGGGTAGGTACTAGGGACCAGTCTCTGTGGGACATGCAGGTGGCAGGGGGAGGAGCTGTCTCTCCACACAGGCTCTTTGAGGCCTAGCCAAATAGGTAGGCAAAGGGCAGGAATCTGAGTGGGGGCTCCCTGCTGAATATCCCATGAAATGCTGGGTCTGACCCCTCTTAGCTCAGCCATGCAAAGCGGGTGTGCCCTCCAAAGGTGCTTCTGTAGCTGAGGCAGCAGGGCAGCAGGTCCTGTCTTGGAGGGACTCTGGGTGGTGTCTCTGAGCCCACACCAGCCACACAGAAGCCTGACCCTGGTAGAGGAGCTAACTGTCTCTCAGAAGGAAGGGAGCTGCTAACTCCCATTGGGAGGGGACAGATGGTACCAGTGGTCAGTTTGACTCCAAAATCCTCTCTGTTGGCCACCTCCCCACCCTGGGGATCCCAGAGAGCTAGCCCCTGGGCATGGGGGAGGGGCTCATCCAGGCCCCTCTGTGTACCTCCTGCTTTTCTCAGCTTCCCAAGATATGGGGCTGTGGTGACTGCTGATTGGCAGTCTGCCCTAGGGCGGAGCTGCCATCCATGGGAGAGCAACCATACTGCCTTCTGGGCTCCTCCTCAGAAACATTTCAACAACACTGTCACTGTGCAGACTGGTGGCCTGGAGAGGCGACCAGGGCAGCCTTCCTGGAGGAGGAGGAGGCCTAAGCCCAGAACAAGCTATGTTGGCACAGCATTGAACAAGGAAACAGGAATTGATAGGGAGAACAGCCTGAGCAATGGTGTGCTGGCTGCAGCCCAGGAGGGTCAGGGAGGGGCTCTCCCAGGGCTCAGGAGGTCTGTGCACGGCCACATAACCACATGAGGCAAAGCCAGGCCTGACAGACACATGAAGCCTCTTTAGTCTCAGTTTATTTCTGACACAGATGATGCCAGGAAGAAGAGCACAGGGCGTTTGTCCCACAGAGGGAAAAGAGAACATCAGAGCACAGAGGGCCACGGTTGGACAGGAGCAGGGGTATGATGTGGTTGTGTAGTCTTCCAGACTGCAGCTCAGCAGCCCCACCCGGGAGTGGAGGGGGCAGGGGGCTCAATGGCACCCCATGTGGCTGTGTTGTAACACGACCTTGTTTGCAAGAACGGTCTTTGCAGATTTAATGAAGGATCTGGAGATAAGATCATTATTTTAGATTGGGAGGGGACCTAAATCTAATGACCAGAGTCTTTAGAGAGGACACACAGGGAAGAGATGCAGGGAGGAGGGGCAGAGGTTGGACTCATGCAGCCTCAAGCCCAGGAGCCTGGGATCTCAGAGCTGGAGGGGCAGGAAGGGCCCCCCTCCCCCGGAGAACAGGGAGGGAGCCAGCCCTGCCACACGCGAAGTTTGGACTTTTTGGCTTCCAGAACTGTGAGAGGGGAAATTTCCATTACTTTCAGCCACCCTCAGGTTTGTGGTACTTTATTACAAAAAGGAATAAGCCCCATGCCTCATCTGGCATCTGGGGAGGTGACGAGAACCTGCCTGTGACCGCCTCCCCAGAGCCAGGGGGACCTGAGGCTGGGTCTCAGAGCCTTCCCTTACACACTTCCCCTGTGCTCATTTCTGGGACAATCTGCCCAAGACTCAGATCCGTGGCTGGAGCCTGTGTCTGTGTGGCCGTGGGGATATGTGGAGCCCTCATGGCAGGGGTGGGCGGGGGGCCTGCACTGGGCAGCAGGTGGCTGGAAGGAAGCAGGGAGACTGAGGGCTTTGAGGTCAAGATGAGGATTCAGATTTCTCCTGTCAGAGCAGGGCGCCACTGAGGCCTGGTCTCGGTCCCCCTCCCTGTGCTCAGCTCAGGAATGTGCACAACTTTCCCCAGAATGAACCTTGGATCTTCGCCCTCACTCTTTTGCAGCCAGTCCTGCAAGAGCTTGCACTTCTTCACTGGCCTCTGAGCTGGACAGAGAGAGCACAGTCATGGTCCTGTTGGTGGCCTCCCTGTGCTCCTTCCCCTTCCCCATCACGTTGTGTTGGGACTCAGACATGTGACATGTTAGTTGTGAGGAGGCCAAAGCAGAGGCTGGACCCCAGCTGCTCCTGGGGAACAAGCTGGGCCACCCTGCGGGGACGGGAGGCCACAGATAAAGCTTGCAGGTCCCAGCCCAGGCTTCTGAGATAGTCCAGCTTCCAGCCCGCCTACCAGCTGATGGCTGCTGCTTACCACCCTGGATGAGCCCCACTGGGATCAGCCCAGCCGGTCAGCAGAACCATGGGTCAGCTCTTGGCTCCCCAGAGATAATGAAGTCATTTCAAGCACCAAGTGGGGATGGTTTTGTCACACAGCAGCACTGTGCTTGCAATGACAGACCCACAGACAGGCACCTGAAGATACTCACTGAGGTGACAAGTAACATTTCAGGTTCTTCTCCTACAGGCCTCCATTTTCTCCTCAAAATCGCCCCCCTCCTTAGCCCATGGTGGACCATGCTCTTAGAACCTTCCTGGTACTGTTTGCTTTCTTCGTAGGTTCCCTACAGGAAGAGGTGGGTGCCCCCTTAACTCCAGCCACGGCTGCCCTGCTGACACCTGCCTGCTTTGTCTCCAACCCAGGCCTCACTCCTGAAGGCCAGCCAGGTATGTTCAGCGGCCTGTCAGCCACCTCCACCAGGATGTCCCCTGTACGTCCAGGTGCCTTGTCAGAATCTGAGCTCAGCACTTCCCTACTTGGCAGCTCCTCCTGTCCCCTACTTCAGAAGGCTACTGCCCTCTGCCACCCAAGCAGTAAGACTTCATGTCATTCTTGATTTCACCCTCTTTACACCTGCCTATCAACGACACTGCAGAGTCCTGCTGACCCCACCTCTTCAAATCGGAGGTGGTCATTTGACTGTCTTCTCCGACGTCTTGGATCAGGCCTTCAGCTTTGGTTCCCTGAAAGAGGCAGTGGCTTCCTGCCTTTCTCGGTTTCTGGCCCGGTTCCTCAGTCTGTACCATTCCTACCAAGGCCAGGTCACTCGAGTCCAACTTTGGCGAAGCTCCCCCTGGCCTCCCAACTTCCTGACCCCGCTCACTGCTTTTAGGTTCCAGTAGTGCTGGGTTGTTTTCTTCCCCCTTCAGCCAACTTCTAATACTTCTTTCCTACTTGCTCTAACAGTCGGTCTGCTTTGAAAGTGCTCACCTCCAGGACTGAGTCCTGCTCTCTGGTCTTAATCATGACTATTTTTTCAGTGAGTACAGAGGTTCCAGCTTGTGGGAGATAGTTAATAAATGCTAAACTGGACAAACAGAATTTGATCGTGATTGGAATTCTCATATAGGAAAAAAAATGAGAACATGTGTGCAAAACGGTGCTGAGAGAAAAAAACCAAGAGGTGAGAGACACTGGGAAGTCTCCCACCAAGAGTGCCAGCCTCCAAGCACAGGAATTGTGGCTCCTTCGTCTTTGCTCATAAAGGTCTTTGAATGAATGAAGTGTGCATGTGCAGGTCACTCAAGAGCCCAGGTCTGGCCCAAACTGCACTACTTTTATCGATCACCTGTTAAAAAGACAATACAGGGCTGGTGGAGTGGCTCAAGTGGTAGAGCACCTGTGTAGCAAGCGTGAGGCTTTGAGTCCAAACATCAGTACTGCCAGAAAAAAAATATACAGTGACACTTGCTAAAGCACAAAGAGGAAGACTTTACTCAATACGATTGACACAGGCACAGGGAACTCTGCAGTGGGAATTGTAGCCAAGGAGCAGGAGGCCAGCGGATGGAACCCTGGTAAGAGGAGTAAGGGGTGTTCTGGCGAAACCTGGTAGGATTCTTGCTGAAGATAGGCCAGGGTGACCATGTTACTGGTGGGCATCTCAGAATACCCTGGTTGAGAAGACCTCAGGTCCTTGGTGTCCTGACAAAGAACTGAGGGGAGACACACAGACGACAAGGCGGCAGCAAAGTTCCACTGAGAGAAATCGGGAAAGTACGCTCCACCAGGAAAGGCGCGGCTCTGATCAAGTCTGATCAAGACTCTGATCGAGTGCTGCACTGCAGCTCAAGAGCATGGGTCCCTTGCTTTGGATGGGAATTTATACACACACGGGGTGAGCCAGTGGGGGAGGAGATTTGGGCGGTTCTTGGAGAGGCTTTTGGTGATTGACAATTGACTCACTGTGCACGTGAATTCACTCCGTTATAACTGAGAGGCGGTCCCCATACATCAGGCTGTAACTGGGGGCCCTCGTGCACACGCCCCAGCTTGGGTCCAGATGAAAATGCTGCTTCAAAAGGGGTGTGTTAGGGCAGTTCTGGGTAAAGCTAGATCACCTGTTCCCATGGGACGATCTGTGAAGCGGCCACGTGTTCTCCGTGACCTGGTTTGGGTACTTCCCTGAATTTCCTGCCTCAATCACGTATCACCTGGGGATGTGGAGGATGACGAATCTGACCAGGTATCAAGGTCAGGGCTGTTGCTAAGCTGGCTTAGCAGGGTACTTTTTTTACAAGGAAGTGCACAGACTGGCCTAGGAGCCTGATTAAAGTTTGGCCAAGTGGGGAATCTTTGTCACACTCACCAGAAAATGAGTCCCCAAGGGCAGCTTCCCTCCCTTACAGCAGCCCCACAAATGAAGTGTTCCTGCAGCCCAGGGGTTGTCCACCCTCAGGCAAGCTAGGCACTCCTGGAGGTTTTTGCTGGAGTCAGATCATATTTCTAGTTGCCACAGGCTGCCCATCTGGGGACCCCAGTTTGAGAACCTCCACTCTAGGGCTGTGCCATCCAAAAGAAACATCAGAGCTGGGTGTCAGTGGTTCATGCCTGTAATCCTAGCTACTCATGAGGCAGCGATCAGCTCGATGCCAGCCTGGGCAAATAGTTTGTGAGACCCTATCTCAAAAAAACCCATCACAAACAAAGAGCTGGTGGAGTGGCTCAAGGTGTAGGCCCTGAGTTCAAACCCCAGTAACCCCCCCAAAACCCTAACAGTCACATATACAACTATCTTAAAAAGGCAAAAGAAACAGGTGAAACTTTAATGTTTTATGTAACCCAATGCATCCAAAATACTATTTCAAGATGTAGTCGATCTAAAAACACGACTGAGAAAACAGCTTTTTCTCAGCTGTTTTTGTTTCGTTTTGTTTCTTGGTGGGATGGGATTTGAACTCAGGGCTTCGGACTCTCAAAGCAACTGCTTTACCTCTTAAGCCACACTGGACCATTTTGCTCTGGTTATTTTGGAGATGGGGAGGGGGTGTCTCACAAACTATTTGACCAGGCTGGCTTCGAACCTCCATCCTCCCGATCTCAGCCCCCCACGGGAGCCGTTTCCCGTGGCTGGCCTTCCCGCCTGGGCTTGGCTCTTAGCTGGAGTCACTTAAAGTAGTGCCACCGAGGGCCAAGGCCCTGTGCCCCTGCTTTTCTGCTGGGGGCGGGGGGGGGGGAAGACTGGCTGGCGGGCAAAGGCCCAGGGCAAGGGTCCCCCCACCAAGGCTGCCTCTTGAAGTTTACTCGCAGAATCGCTCCTTATTTCCTTAGCTAACTTTTGGAATGAGCCGCTGACGCCCGGTTTTAGCTAACTCTTCAGAGTCAGTGCGTATTCCACAGCCATAGCGCTGCAGTAGCCTGTGGCTAGTGGCGCTGGCGGAAAAAGAGTTCGAGAACTACAACTCCGGACAGATAGCCGGCGGCACCTGTTACGCACTTCTGGTGCGCCGCCGGGCGCCCTCTGAGAACCACAACTCCCAGCATGCATCTGTGCGTCCAGTTACCCACTTCCGTCAAGGCTGTGGGCACGAGATGCCTACTAAAGAACCACAACTCCCGGCATGCCCCGGCACGCCAGTTACGCACTTCCGGCGCGGCGGCGACAGCGCGCCCCCGGCGGCTGCGGCGGCGGCGGCAGCGAGGCCGATCATTCAAGCGGCGGCGAGTGACGGGGCTGCCGGGCCGACGGGAGCCGGGGCGGGGCGGCGGCAGCGGCGGCCCAGCGAAGGAGCGCGCGACGGCCCGGCCCCGCCCCCGCCCCGCCTGCCCGCCCGCCCCGGTGACCTTCACGGGCTTGGGCGGCGGGCGCTGGCCCCGGCGGTGGCGGCGGCGAGATGTTCGTGCAGGAGGAGAAGATCTTTGCGAGCAAGGTGCTTCGGCTGCACATCTGCGCGGCCGACGGCACTGAGTGGCTGGAGGAGGCGACCGAGGACACGTCGGTGGAGAAGCTCAAGGAGAGCTGCCTCCAGCACGTGAGGCCCTGCCCGGCGACCCCCGGACCCCTGCCTAGGCCGCAGACACGCGCCTCATTTCCGGACCCCAGTCCCACCTTGCCTCCTTCCTAGAATCCAGGCTCCGATCCCGGATCTGCCCCAGCCGCGGACCCCCTCTGGCCCCAGACCCGCCGTCCCCCCGCGGCCCTTGGCCCTCTCTCGGCCATACCTTCTTCTCCGGCCGCAGACCTTCCTGGACGCTCTTCTCTGAGCTCCGCTGGTCGCCAGCGCCAGACACCAGGCCAAGCTCTGCTTGCCGCCCTCATTGAATTTCTTTGGGTCCTTGGGAGGGAGGGCGGATGGGGAAACGGAGGCCGAGAGGGGAGGACCTGGGCGAGGCAGGGCTCATCGTCTTACGGCATTTGTGCTCGCTTGCCGTGGGGGTGAGGTTAGTGTTTTTCAAGCTGAGAATTAATGACGGTCCCTTCCCTTCAGAGCCAGCTGCTTGGAGCCGTTTCCCGTGGCTGGCCTGCCCGCCTGGGCTTGGCTCTTAACTGGAGTCACTTAAAATAGTGCCACTGAGGGCCAAGGCCCTGTGCCCCTGCTTTTCTGCGGGGGGTGGGGGGGGCAAGCCCAGGACAAGGGTCCCCACCAAGGCTGCCTCTTGTTGAAGTTTACTCGCAGAATCGCTCCTTATTTCCTAGCTAACTTTTGGAACCAGTTCTTGAGACCTTCACCTCTCTAAGCTCCACTGAGAGTGGTCAGGTGGGACACCTGCTGTCTCTCAGACCCTGGTGGCCTTGACATGATGCTGTGTTTCCTGGCAGACTTGGGTTAAAGGCGGCCACAGCTTTATAGTGGAGACACCGTGTGAAAAATTATGTACCTGTATGTGTGACAAGTTGTTTGTGTTCAAATGTGACCAAGTGCTGACTCTAAGGGGGAACTTCCATTATTACTGTGCAACTGCTTGAGAAGAAAGATTTCGCACCCTTGAGTGGTGGCTGTGTGGCGTCAGTCTGTAATTGTCAGGCGGGCATGGTGACACCCCAGTTTCAGGCCCCTTCTAGAGCACATCCTATAGTGGTAACCTGAAGGCCTTGGCCTCGCGTTCACCTCAAGGAGGCTCATGTACTCAAAGTTAGGTGCGTTTTGACCATTTGATTATTTTTCTTCTCAACCAGCACATGTAGTTTTGCTCTCTAGAAACCCACCAGGACAGCACAAGCCAAAATGTCCTGTGAGAACCAGGCATTACTGCGTGTCTGCATGTGTGTCTTAAAACCCCCAGGGAGGTTCTGTGTTCTCCCCAACACAGGATTAGGGCCTTTAGGGTTAAGTTCCGGGTGACCCCCTAAATAAGCATGAGGATTAACGGAATAAAAGAAAATATATTATCAACCCAAAAACCACATTGTCTTGGAATGTCACCTGCATGGCTGTGGCAATTAGTGTAACTCACTAATGGTATGGACTTAATGACCATCCTGGGAGTGTTTTGTGAAGGTAACAGGAAATGAACCACAGATGCTTACTAATGAATTTCAGGAGCACTCAGTTAATTAAGCAGACAGTTTCAATGTGAGGCTAATTATTCATGATATGTTACTTTACTTGGTATTTTGGGTTTTCCCCCCCATATCCTCCTTTAAGTTGAGATTTTATTCCACTCTACAGTCTCTCCAGGTATAGAGGATCTGAGGGGATTTTCACACCACAAGAGCTGATGTAAATTACAGGACTGTAGACCTGAGGCATCAGAAAGTATTGCCTCCTCCAAGTCCCATCCATCCTGCAGGCAGAGTCAGAATACAGTAGTTATAAAAGAGACTTTTCAGGTTGTGTACTTGACTGTCACCCTGGAAACCAGTCCCTGCATGCCATATTGCTGTAGGCAGCAAGGCCTGGTGCATGTCTTGTCTTGAGTCCTCCTTCCTGCCTCCCCTGTGGGTGCTTATGCGGGTGTTCTTTTTCTCGTTCTCTTTCCCGTCTACCTTGAGGGGTGATGTGGACTCTTCTTTCTTTCCCCCCACAGTACTCCTGGAGCACATAGCTGTATGAAAGAGGAGTGCATTGTCATAACTCTTAAGGAAATGGATTACTGATTTTGCCTTTTCCTTTCTTGTTTTATCTAAAATGGGTTCACCATAGTGATTTCTAGCTTCTGTTGCCCAGGACTGGAAAAAAAGAGCACAGGAAGCCCTTTGTCTTATGGGATTAGACCTGTGGGATGGAGGATGAGGTTGTTTTGGGGGGGGCGGGTGAGGGATTCAAACTCAGGGCCTCACACTTGCTAGGCAGGTGCTCTGCCACTTGATCCATGTCTCTATCCCTTTTTATTTCTAGTTATTTTTCACATAGGATCTCAAGTTTTTACCCAGGACTGACCGCAGACCAGGATCCTCCTACCTCCACTTCCCATGTAGCTGGGATTACAAGTGTGATCCACTACCCCTGGGTTGTTCTTTGAGAATTTTTTGCCTGGGCCGACCCTGAACTGCTATCCTCCTGATCTGTACCTTCTGAGTAGCTGGGATGACAGGCATGAGCCACATGCCCAGCTTGAGGAGTTTCTTTTTGTTTGTGTGTTTTTGAGACAAGGTCTCACATAGCTGAGGCTAGCCTGAATGAACCTTACTATGTAGCCCTGGCTGATCTCAAACTTGTGATCCTTTCGCCTCAGCCTCCTGAGAACTTGGGTTATAGGTATGCACCACCATGCCTGGGGTAGGGGGTTCTCTGTGATTCAAAGTGCCAGGCAGCACAGTACTTGCTAGTGTGGGCTGTTGAAATTTCGTAAGTTCTGTGAAGCTTCAGGTCCTGTCATTGTCACATGACAGATGGTATCGGGTGTAGGCAGAAGATAGGGCAGTAGACATGGAATGCAGAGGATGTCAGGGTCTCCCTGCCTCAGTGGTGGTTTTCGCTGGGATTCCCACTGCTGTATCCCCGTGGACAAACACAGACAGAAGGAGGGTGTTGTGCATGGTGTGGGTGACTCATGCTTATGTCTTGCTCCTAGTGTGCTTTTGACACTGTGCAGAGTCTTTTGGGAACCATGATTAGGATTGTTTTTGGAAAATTGTGTTTCATTGACTGTTCTGAACTTGACAGATCAACTAGAATTGCAAAGGCATACCCAGTACTTCTTGGAGCAGAGCCATTGCCAAGTTGAAGGAAAGTTGGAGAGTTCTTTATTGTGTTACACTGGCAAGAGCATAGCTTACTGTTAGCTGGATTCCACCTCTATGCCCCTGGCTTTGCCAGTTTTGTTTGAATCTATGTTAACCCCTGGAGCCTCTGTGATCCTTTTTTTCAAAACTGTTTTCAATCTGAGACTAATGGAAAATTCTTGTTACTCTAAAATGCCAGTGTTGAGAGAGAAATACATGCTTCTGTTTTTTCCTTTCTGGCTAGCAGTTGTGTTTGTTGGGTGTTTTTGAACCTCCATACTATCCATAGTAGCAGAGGGAGGTGATGAGTAAGCTTCCAGTGAGGTCTGTACACAGCGCCCAGCATACCCAGGAAGCCTGGAGGACTCCAGGTCCCAAGAGTCCTGGAATGGTGCCACAGGAAAAAAGCACCAGTGAACTGTCTTGGCCCCCTTCCTGATCTTTACTGAATTCTGCTATCTAAACTCAGAAAATCCATAGGAACAGGAAAATAGTCCTGGCCCCTGGCTCTATTCTGAGGTCCAGAGGGTTGCCAGCCCAGGCTGCAGAAGCGTGGGAGGGTCTTTTGTGAAGATTGCGAGTGCTGTCACATTTCCCTCACTCCAAGGTTCTGCCTTATGGAGAGAGGCCACAGCTGATTAAGTGGCACCATTGTCTGGTGTGGTGTCTGGTGTATGGTGCTATGAAGGGCTGCATGGTACTGATGGGTAGTGGTAAAGTTGCAATCTACTGTACAAACTCAAGTGAGCATAGATGGTGCCAGAAGGCACAGGCACAGCAAGCACACCTGTCTTCATCTTGTGCTACCATCAGCATTTGTTGGTCTTCATATAGTTGGCAGTGAGATGGGCGCTGTCCAAAGACAAACAGGACTTCTGTAATCCAGAAATAGGAGTGTTTAAATTCTGGATGGCTGTGCATTGTTTTGTGGAGCAAGGTGCCTGAATGAAATGACTAGTAGTTTCTGTCTGCCCAGGCCCCTGCCAAAACAGGTTGTGAGGTCAATCTCTTAGAGGGTAGTTGCAGGATTGGAAGAGATCTCATAGGTGAATATCTAGAGTTTGAAGTCAGTAGCAATCGAGGAGGTGTCTCAGTCACTGGGAGTGCCTGTTGGGTGACCGTGGGGTGGGTGTGTGGCCATACTCCTCACTGTTGCAGGTGCGCTGTCTTCCCTGGGTGGCTGGGACTTCAGTGCTCTCCTCCTTCCCCTGCCCCACCCTGCTTTCCAGGGCACTGGGGACTTAGGCATAGCTGTGTGCCCATCAGTCTCCGGTGAGCTGCCTTAGGAGAGGCCCTAAGAGCTGTGTATGTAGTGAAAGCATAGTGAACGTGAGGCCAGTCACATTCAGTACTTCTCTGGGAACTTTGTGGAGGCTCATTCTCTGCTGTTTCTCGTTCCCTTTCACATGTTTGTGGAAGAAAGAAAAAATGCACAAAACATATCTGGATCTTTAGGCTATCAGGAAACAAGGGACCTATTTTCATCTGAAAATCATCTTCCAGATCTTTCCCAACAAAGGAAGCGATTTGGGTTGCCCATACTTTATCAGTAGGGTCTTGCATGTCCAAGCTCAGTGGTTTACAGTGGGCAGTAATGAGCGGGAAGGCCTGGGAAAATCATGAGTTGTGACATTTCATTTGGCTTCTGACATTAATGGGGTTGTTTGATTTTTGTCTATGTTTTAACGTCCTTGATAGTAAGGAAAACCAGTAATTCCAGCTGTAGCTTGGGATGTCAGGTCCCGTATTGCAATATTATGATTATGTTCCTTTATTTATTTATTTTGGTGGTACTGGGAAATTAAACTTTGGCACTTGAGCCACACCTAGCCCATGACTTATTTTCTACTTAGAGATGTATCGTTTGGGTTTTTCCCCAGTGTGCTCATGGGAGCTTAGAAGACCCAAAAAGTGTAACCCATCATAAGTTAATACATGCTGCTTCAGAGAGGGTGCTGAGTGACACCAAAACAATCCTGGAGGAAAATGTCCAAGACAAAGGTAAGGACCCCCCAACCTCAGGAGCTCTGACCCTGACCCCGTCCCCATGCTATCCGTGGTCGAGCTGAGTATGAACAAGAGAGTGGATTGACTCTGTTTTTATCTTATTAAAAATGTTTGTGTTATGGAATATTTGTAAAAAATAGCAGAACCCAAAATTGAGCAAGCAGCAACATTGGAGAAGCCAAATTTTTTAATTCCATTTCAAAGCAAAGCCGGAGTCTGGGGTTTGTGCAGGTTTAGTTTTGGGTCACAGATGATGGTCGTGCCTCTTGTCTCAAGCACGTTAGTAGGATGGTCTTATCACACACACACGCACTTCACTGCTTGCACTTTTGTGTCTGGAGGCACTTGGGGAGAAAACCTCAGTTTTTTAAATGTCGTTCAAATACTGACTTTAATTTTGGAAAATGCTGATAGCAGTTATTGCTCACAGACTCCTTTTGAGCATTATAATGAGGCCCAGAACTGGACAGAAGGTGACCCATGGTGAATTATCACCTACCATACCTCAGGTTGTTAGCTTTGAGGATTAAGACCAAACTCCCCAGCCTTACCCATTTTCAAAAGTGAGCTCATGAAAATGAGAGCATTTTATAAGATTTCCACCAGTTCATTTTGTGTCATCATTTGGGCTAAACTGTACGTGCCTCCTGGGCCATTGGTCACCTCTGGTGACCCATACAGACATCAGAAAGCTAGGAGTGGGTGGGCTTGCTTGGTTTAGGAAGGACCCAGAGAAACCCCTGTTTCTGTGCTGAGCTTGTCTAGCACCCTGTGATTTATGGCTATGAAATGATGACCAGCTTGATAGATACAAATATTTTTTCTAGATGTCCTGTTGCTGATAAAAAAGCGTGCTCCAGCTCCACTTCCCAAGATGTCCGATGTCTCAGCAGAAGAAAAGGTAAGTTTCAGAGTTTGCAGCAGGAGATCTTCATTGGTCAAAGCCTCTTGTACTCAAGACTGCAGAAGTAATCTGTGTACTAGTTCTGTGTACTGTGCATAGCACAGCATAATCCCCAGTAATCACACACATGCTCTATGAGATTCTCCATCATGGCTAGACCTGTTTGACCACCCTTGATCATCAGTGATTGGTGACCAGCCCCAGAAAAGCTGGCTCTGTGGTGTCAAATGCAGAGGAGAATGAGGGCATGCTCCCGAGTTACCACTTAACCCTTGTGCCACTGTCTAGCCTGACCTCTACATTCTCCCGTTCTTCTGTCCTCCAGTACCCAATTTCATCCTGACAGAACAATGTAGGAAACTCTTCATGTGAAATGAGGAGCAGCATGCAAAGGAGGTGACAAGCCCAGCAGCACACACTCTTCTTTGAGCCTGGGTTTGCCTGTCCTGAGTATGTTTTACAGGACAGAGTTGGATACCCTAGAGTTCACGTAAATGGGTCGATTTGCAGTCTGCAACTTCCCTGTAACTGAGGTGGCTTAGGAAGATAGCAGTTCGTTATTTGTCTGGTAACTGCCCTCAGAGCTCCTCCTTTAGGAAGCTCATGTGTTCTAAGACATGAACTGTGGATGGACCTTTTCAACTCTTGCACCAAATGTGCCTGTGTCCTAGTACACGGCAGTGCTGTTTTGAAGGGCAGTTGCCTTTCTTGTCTGCAGGGAGTGGAAATGCCAGGAGAGCGCTCACCTCAGAGGAGTGACTGGATCTGTGCCTGATAGCACGCAAGCTCTTTCAGGGTTTCTTCTGGGACTACAGATAGAGGAGGAGTGCCCTGGGTTTCAGGCCTTTCTTATCTTGACCACACCTGGCCACCAAGCTGGTTTGGGCACAGGCAGTAGCTCTCAGATGGGTTGTCTGCCCATCTCTACCATTACAGATCTGGGCTGGTTTCTGCCTGTCCTGAGCCAGGCACTTCTGAGAACTGCTACAGGCTGATGCCATTCTCAAGTTACGGTTCTGACTGTTGGTATTTGGTCTTAGAGGCCCACTAACTAGTATAAGCAGCGTGGCTGTGACTACAGCCTGACACATTGGCTCCCACTCACCTTTGTTTTTCTTTTTCTTTTTTTTTTGGTGGTACTGGGGATTGAACCCTAGGCCTGGTACATACCAGGCAGGTGCTCTACCACTTAAGCCATACCCTAGCCCTCACCTTTCTTCTTTCTTCTTCTTCACATAAGTGCAAGATGGAACATTATAAGGTGTGAATTCTTAGTTTTATGTATTTTTCTAAGTTAAAATGACAATGTAGTTAAAATTTCAAGTAATACTACACAATTTTAATAAGAATCAGTAGCTTCCTATCATACTTGAGTCATACTCCCTATAAGCAGTCACACATAACTCTTGTTCTGTGTTCTTTTCCAGTGGTGGGTGGTAGGTAGGTACTTTGCACAGAGCCATATCTTTACTCCCGCTTGTTATTCTTCCAATTGTTATCTTCAGCAATTTCTCTCCTGATTTCTAAGTAACGTGCATGTGATGCTTCTTGCATTACCGATTGTGGGCAGTTGGCTTCTTGGTGATAAGGATGTAACTGCCTTCCTTCCTTCTCCTCCCTCAGGGTGGGGTGAAGGTGGCTTCAGAGCTTCCATTGCTGCTACTGTTCAAAGCATATTCTGAGCAAAGCATATTCAGATTATTTATCTTGGGACTGGGGGTGTAGCTCAGTGGTGGAACACTTGCCTAACATCCCAAAACACACATAAACGTAAAAGATTTTTATACTTTTTTTTTTTTTAATATAAATTAACCCATTTTATTGTAAACCAGGGATGTCTCAAATGGTAGAGCTTCTACTGGTCTTTTAATTCCTTCAGTCTTCTGATGGCAGACTTGATGTGACTGCTGAAGTGGTGGTATAGGTCTAGGCACCACCAGCCACCGTTTTCATGCAGGAACCACAGTGCCATATTCCTACAGCCTGTCTCCTCATCTTGATTTTGCCACAGAAGGAGCAGGTGTAGTTGGTGTGTTGGCTGATTTCAATTTTCTTTTCCATTTTCTGGAGGGAGGCACCATAGCGGGTCCCGTATTTACTGACAGTCCCGACCTTCTTGGTGCGTTTGTCCATGTCGCTGTGATGTAGGTCTAGCCAGAGAGTTTTATATGTCTTCACTGCCACACAGTTTGCAGTAGGAGGATCAAGTGCTAAGTGTCTGAGGCTGTGTGCAGAGCACCCCAGAATTCCCCCAGCTCACCGAGGAGGTCAGCCACAGTTCTAGCGTGGAAGGAGATTGGCTCTTTCTCTAACTAGGACCCTATTTGTCCTGTCTCATAGTTATGTCCCTTATGGTCCTGTGTCCTTTTTGACTCATATCACTTTCTGTGCAGAAGAAACAAGAGCAGAAGGCTCCAGACAAAGATGCCATCCTTCGGGCAACTGCCAACCTGCCCGCCTGCAGCACAGACAGAGCTGCGGTCCAGACAACCATGAGAGATGTGAGTGCCAGGCTTGGGAGTGGGGGGGCATGCTGAGCACCAGGGGGTAACGATAGGCTCTTCAGAAGTGCTTGGCTGGCACACACCTGTGGTCCCAGCACTCTGGAGGTTGAGGAGCACTTGAGCCCAGAAGTTGAAGCCAGCCGTCTCAAAAAAGAAAGAAGTGGGCAAGGTGTTGAGGAGCTATTTACTACTTTCTAGCTGTTCCATAAATCTAAAATTACTTCAAAGTCAGAAGTTTACCAGCTACCTGAGAGCAGGACTGAAGGGACAGATAGCTCTGGGAACAAGTGAGACTTTGACCTGAGTTTGCCAAGCTTATAGGTAGGAGTCTAAGCTCTCAGGTTATCTTGGACAGGAAAGTTAAGAGATGAAAGTGCTTAGTGCCTGTGTGGGCTAGCCCAGGATGAGGGGCACTATGTGTGCAGAAGTGGGGAGAGCAGCTGGCTTTGACTTCCTTGGGTCTGGACTGAGCTACGCATTGCTGTGAACCCTGGTTCATTTTAGGAATAAACTTTCTAGGGTCTCTTCCAGAAAGTTCCGTGTTGACCAGAGCATCGTAAGTTTTCTGCAGAGGCTGGCATGTGTGTCCCTTCCTGGCCTCTCTGAGTGTAGCCCTGGAGGGGTCTCACAAAGGTTTAGGATTATGGTAGAGAGGCAGTTGGTCCCCAAGCTCTAGGCCCTGCCAGTTGCAGGCTGGTGCAAGACAGGTCTCAGATCTCAGTGTCAGCTTTCTTTTCTTGGTGATCTGCAGTTGCTGTCAGCTGTGGTTCCTGCCAGGTAGCGGATCGGTCAGCTTAGTCTTTTTTTCAGGGAGGCCAGAGGAGGAGCTTTAGCTTCTGTGGCTGTGACCAGCCAGATGCTTTCCTCATTGCTGCAGTCTGAGTGTCACACTGAGCTTTGGGGGTTGAGTGCTGGCTGAGAGGCTCTCTCTATGCCCATCTGTGCACACAGAGCCCTTTCTCCCCAGAGCTGTGGGCACCTGCTGAGGATGGGGATGGCGCCACCCCAGCCTCAGCTTCATTCCCTCTAGCTGGCCTGGGCTCCCTTGAAGGAGGCAATAGGGTCTGGCCACACTTGGAGTGTTAGTTTGGGGTAGGTTGTAGATCCACATAGGTTTGTTGGATATCCACAGAAACGATCTCTTTCTTTGTTCCCTTGCAGTTCCAGACAGAACTCCGGAAGATCTTGGTGTCTCTCATTGAGGTGGCCCAGAAGTTGTTAGCTCTGAACCCTGATGCAGTTGAATTGTTTAAGAAAGCGAATGGTATGAGTTGAGCCCTCATTCTGAGTTCCCATTGACTGTTTGCCCATTGCCCCAGGGAGGGTCTGCAGCTGTCACATCAAATGGAGGGGTGGGGTTAGGGGAAGAAATTCCCAGTATTCTGCTTTTCTCAGCCCAGGCCTTGTGGCGCTTTTGGCACTCCTTGTATGTGAGAGCTGATGTTAGGGTTCATGCTTTCTGAGGCTTCAGCTAATTGCTAGGAACGTTTGGTGCGCAGATGGATCTGTTGACCCATGAGGGGCTGGTGGCTTGGGCTCAGGGTAGCCCCTCATGTCAGGTCTCCTCTTACCTGCAGCTATGTTGGATGAAGACGAGGATGAGCGAGTGGATGAGGCGGCCCTGCGGCAGCTCACAGAGATGGGCTTCCCGGAGAGCAGAGCCTCCAAGGCCCTTCGGTTGAACCAGTATGTGGGGGCCTCTCCTTCCTTCTGAAGATGCTGGGAGCTTGGTCTTGTGAGCCACATCTTCCCTCCCAAAGTCTTTGTTCAATTGAGTCATTTCTTGTGTGTGTGTGTGTGTGTGTGTGTGTGTGTGTTCAAAGAGGCACTTATATGCAGAGACTGGTTTTAGTTGTTTGGTTAAACTGGACATGAAGACACTGTAGATGAGGGGTGGTTAGGGACTGTGTCCTTGTGCTGCAGACTTAGGCTCCCACACACCTTGAGCATTTAATGTACATCTGTACTTGGCCAGGACCTCAGTAGTTTGAGGCAAGGGCAATATGGAAGTTCCCGCCTGGAGGAATCACTTACTACTGCTCCTGCTGCTGGTGAAGCTGCCAGAGCAGCAGCATCTCTTCTGGGGAGCCCATGGGATGGGACAGGCCCTCTGCGGCTATGGCTGTCTGATGGGAGAGTGGGAAGAGCCTCTTGTCCTCTTTCAGCATGTCAGTGCCTCAGGCCATGGAGTGGTTAATCGAGCATGCAGAAGACCCAGCCATTGACACACCTCTTCCAGGCCAGGCTTCCCCAGCAGGGGCAGGTACTGCAGCTGCCACCCCTGAGGCTGCTGCTGGGACTAGTGCTGGAGAAGAGGAGGAGCGGGATGAGCTCACCGAAATCTTCAAGAAGATTCGCAGGAAAAGGGAGTTCCGGGCCGATGCTCGGGTATGTGTGGGATCTCTCTTGAGTGGAGATGGCTTCTCGTGGCTGTGTTTTGCAAGGAAGCTGGGGATCTAGAACTGGGTTGGGAGTTCACAGGCAGGCCAGGACGGACTTAGTTCCTGAGTCGATGTCCTCTGGAGTCCAGGTGGCTTCTTTCTGCTCAGTGACCAGTCAACACATGTCATCTCTGGAAAGTCTCAGTGTGGAAGTTCCTGTCTGTACAAGTGTTGACCAACAATGAGTGCTGATGTGATCTGTGGGGTTGGGTGGGCTAGAGGAGCATCTTGTGGGGTGGCTGGTGAGTGAGGAAATGGATGAGGCTGGCTAGCCACTTGGCAAGGGTACATGGCTGCCTGTGCTAGCCATTACTAGTGTCCCTCTTGGCCTCTCCTCCCTGCCACCTCACAGGTGATGCCTTCACACTTCCCTGCTCTGCATTCACTCTCCTGTGCATCGATTAGGGTTTTAACATCTACCTTGACCTTATGCTTTCTTTCAGATTACACATCTGTTCGTTCGGGGCTTTCATTTTACCTGCTTTCTGAATTCTTGCATGTGACATAGATCGTTTGCTCAGGGCCTCACCTGTGGGGCTTGTGTGTTCCATGGGAATTCTGTGTGGTCAGATTGCAGAGTGTCCACATAGGATGATTCCGGTGTGCCTCTGTAGGACTGAGCAGAACCACCAGCCAGGGGACACTTTTTAGTTGGTTGTCCCAATGGGGTCATGGTCCATGTGCACCCCCCAGTACCAGTCACATTTTCAAGGTTCTGACTTCTCTGCATGGCCCGCAGAGACCAAAGCATCTGCTTGTCTTGTTTGTTTTTTGCAGTACTGGTGTTTGAACTCAGGGCTTACACCTTGAGCTACTCCACCAGTCCTTTTTTTGTGTTAGGTATTTTTGAGATAGGGTCTCATGAACTATTTGCCTGGGCTGGCTTCGAACCTTAATACTCCTGATCTCTGCCTCCTAAGTAACTAGGATTACAGATGTGAGCCACTGGTGCCCAGCTCATCTGCTTATCTTGTCCTAGCTTTTAGCAAGGGTTTTAGTGCCTCACATGGCCAAGGGCTGTCTACTTCTTTCTGTGTGGACCACAGGTCCCCATGATGCCTCCTACTCCTCCCAGAGCAGATCCCTTCTCACCTTCCATCTCATCAGGTTTGTTTTCTGTTACTTGGGGATTTCCTCTTGTGAGTTCATCTGTGCATTTAAAGTCTTCTTGTTCTTCTGTTTTATCTTTTTATTAAACTTCTGGTGGTACTGGGGTTTGAAAAGACCTTATGCTTGCTTGGCCGGCACTCTACCACTGAAGCCACTCTGCAAGCTCTTTCTGTGTTGGTAACTTTTGAGATAGGGTCTTATTTTATGGGTTGGCTTGGGCCTCAATCCTTCTATTTGTGCTTCCCTCTGTAGCTAGGCTGACAGGTACACACCACTGTGCCCAGCCACTGGTTAAGATGGAGTCTTGTGAACTTTTTGCCTGGGCCGGCCTTGAACTATGATCCTCCCAATCTCCACCTCCCATGTAGCTAAGTGTGAGGCAGTATTCCCAGCTTTGTTCTATTTTAATGCACGTTTCTAGGATTAGCAGGATGTTTGTCTCATGATCTTAGTCTTCTAGGGAGCCAAGTCTGGCCGATGCTGAGACCCTGTGAGGACACAGCCATTGTGCTCTCGCTGGTTCTGGTCTTGTGCAGGGAGATATCCTCAGCTTTCCTGGATCTTGGTCCTGCCTGGTCTTGTGGGTTGCTGCCTAGTCTTGCTGCTGGTTGGTTCACATTCATTCTTCTCATCTCAACCCATTTTTTTTTCCTTATTATTAAAATAAAAGTTTTTTAATCCTTAATTTGAGTATGCTGATTTCTTGAAGCTACTTCTTCTACTGCCATTCCTTCCCTTTACTCTTTTTGTTAGAAGGTTCTGTAGAATCCTTCTTGTCTAACAGATGTTGTGATACAACAGCAGGGCTCCAGGGGCCAATGCATCAGCTCTTCTCCTGCCCTTTGATTTCTATACCGGTCCTGAGATCAGGCAGCAGTTTGGCAACGATCAAGTATTACTCACTATTAGACAGGATTGGAGATCAAAGATTGCACTTGAAACCCAGTTTGTCTTTTGCTGCTTTTCCTCCCAGCCGTGGACAGGCCAGCTGTGTACAAAGGACAGAGCCACCAAAGCCTTTGGTTTTGCAGTCTATGAGTTCCTGTGAGAGAGTCCTTTCTCTCCTGTTTGGGAGGGGGACAGAAGGCTGCTAAGGCCTTACATCAAAGTATTGGGGTATCATTTTTGTGGGCTGAGATGGAAATGAGAGTAAATACTATTCTTGAATTGAGCAGTAGATTCCAGGCCATTTTATGTAACCTTTGTCCTCCCTCCCTTTTGCAGTGCTGGGGATCAAACCCAGGGCTTCGTGCATGCTAGACAATCACTCTGTCAGTGAGCTTTACCCCAACTCTACTTACATGATTTTGACATCCAAATGTTGTATGATGGGTTCTTCTGGCATTCACTGCTTGAGCCCCCGGTGTTAGTAAGTGCCTGAGAAATCAAATAAGATAGGCCATAGGTAGAATAGAGGCTGCTGTGAGCTGACCCCATGTATAGCATCCTTCCTGTTTCCACCCCACCAGAAAAACCTCTTCTGGGTTTTCTCGAAGCCTCTATAGTCCAGTCCATTTGGACTGCAAATGACACGCACATTCTGCGGGGTGTGTGTGTTGTGTTTTTGGAGAGCTGAGTGGGGCCTGTTAGCATGAGGGAGAGAGGGTACCAAAGGCTTCAGACAGTGGGTTTAGTTGGACATGGTGGTTCACGTCTCGGAAGGCTGGGGCACGAGGATTTTGAGCTTGAGGCCAGCTTGGGCTGGTATTTGACCTTCAAAAGATTATGAAAAGCCCTTGAAAAATTGAAACTCTTAAGAGTCTTTGCAAAATTGGCCTTTTTAAATATTGTGTTGTAAAAGTTCATCATAAAATAAAGGATAACGTAAATGTTTTTGTCCTGAAAATGAACATCCTTCCTCTCAAAATATTGAAGATTAGGTTGTTCACACTAAGAAGTGACATGTTTACACTTAAGAGTCTAAGTTCATTAAATGCTAGATGTTAAAATTAATTTTTTTTAAAGATAACTGAATTCCCCTCCCCCCTTTTTCCTTCTTCTTTTTTGGTGGGACTGGGGTTTGAACTCTGCTTCACACTTGCAAAGCAGGTGCTCTTGTTATTTTGGGTATGGGAGTCTCGTGAACTATTTGCCTGGGCCGGCTTCAAACCATAATCCTCCCCATCTCAGCCTCCCAAGTAGCTAGGATTACAGCATAATCCAGCTCCTCCCACTTTTTCTTAAAGTACTATGACATTTTTGTCTTCACGTAAGTTGGATTTACACGCTGGGCCTTTCTCTAATGCCACTTATTGAGTAGCAAGGTCCCTGAGATGAGTTTGGATTTGATTGCTGAGGATGGTTTGAGCCATGTGCTCATTGGGACAAACAGTGCATCCAAGATTGAACTGCTTGCCTCGTGTCCCTTTGAGTGTTATGTGGTGGCTTGGTGCTCCTCCCACCCTAACTGGGCTCTCTGACAGTGTGCCCTGGCCCTGCTCACTGCCCCACATCCTATGCCAGGAAGGCTTAAGATGCTGGCAACACAGATGTGTTTCAGTAAAGCTGTAATGAAAAGACTTGAGGTAGAAAATTTTGTGGTGGTATGGCAGCACAGCTGCTGAGATGCTGGTTCTGAAGCCAGGCTGTGCTGTGCATGGGGGCTGTTCCCCATGCTGCTGCCGCTGAATCCAGTGCTGTGGTGTTGACCAATTGTGGTTTTCATGCAGGCTGTCATTTCTCTCATGGAGATGGGCTTTGATGAGAAGGAAGTGATCGACGCCCTCAGAGTGAACAACAACCAACAGAACGCTGCTGTGAGTGCTGGTGGGTGGGCAGGATGCAGCCTGCATGGGGGGGTGTCTGTCTCGCTGGCTCGCATGGCTTGTGTCAGGAGTGCTCTGCTTGTGCCAGCTTCTACATGCATTCGGTGGTGCTCTTTTTTCTGTGTGGTGTGCGGTACTAGCACAGATAGTCCAAAAGGCGTACACTTCTGAAGATACTGGTGCTTTTCTGAAAACAATGCTTTTATGTGCATGGTCTAAGTGAGTGTGAGGCTTGTTCATTTATTTTATTAAACAGACTCTTAAGACTGAGTCCCATGCTGAGAATGCACCAGCGGCTTATAGGGTCCATGGTGGGCTAGTGGCCTCCTCCACTTGTGGACAGGATTGAGACAGAGATGATGAATTCTGGTTCACATGTTCCAGGCTCATTGACTTTGAGAAATTCAGTCATTCTGGGGTTCCTTAGAACAAAGCCTGGTGTTGAGGGGCCATGTTAGCACCAGTGTGTTGTGACCAGATTGAACTGCATTGTCAGGTCTGCTAAGCAGCAAGCCAGAATGGTCACTTCCTTCTCTGGCCTGGCTGGATATGCATGGCACTGAATGTGGGCTGGGGTTGCTTGTGTCAGGGTCACATCCAGGCAGAGCAGCTGTGGGGACTTGACAGGAACTACAGAAAGGTACAGGGCCAGCCTCAACCGTGTCTCAAGAAAAACTAACAGCCACTCTGATGTTCTTGGTTTGTAGTGCGAGTGGTTGCTGGGGGACCGGAAGCCATCCCCTGAGGAGCTGGACCAGGGCATCGACCCCCAGAGCCCACTCTTTCAGGCCATCCTGGACAACCCAGTGGTTCAGCTGGGTCTGACCAACCCTAAGACATTGCTAGGTATGTGTGCCTTTTTTAGGCTGACTTGGTTGGAGCACATGTAGCAGGCTGTCTGCCATGACAGGTGCTACTGAGATAGGGATGAGGATCACTGTGCCGTGTGGGTTGGCTCCTACAGGGCACTCCTGCCAGGCCACCAAAGGGCCCAGGAATTAGGTTCACCCACAGTGGGAACAGCTCCTGCAGTGCCTGTGGCTTGCTCAGGAACACGCATGAGGAGAGGGTGTGGCTTCGGCTTTTGCTTTCCTGTCCCCAATTGTGAAATTTGTGAGTTTGTTTTTATCCTCAATGGTCCCTTTCACACTGAAAGCATGCCCTCCCATCTCTCCTGGTTTGTAGAACTTAGGAGATTAATAGGTGCTGTCTTGAGGTCTGCCCAGAGGTCTTTCTTTTTTTTAGGGAAGTGGGGGTGCCGGAGATGGAACCCAGGGTCTCATACATACTTAACACACTCTACCACTGAGCCACACAGGCCTTTTCTAATGGGTTTCCTTTTGGTATTTCCCAGTTGACATTACTGCTTGTAGGTTTGTTTTAAGATACATTTGATAGATGAAGGACTCTCGCCTTCCCCTCGAGTTTGGGTACTGAGTACTCAGTCCTGTCTTTTGAGATTCTGGGGTGGTTGGCTCATGTCATCCCTTCCTCCTTTTACTGAAACAAACACCGGAGTGAGCACCCCAGTCTGCACCTGGCAGAGTATGGGTCAGCAGGACTGAACTCAGGCATGTGGACAGCTCATACAGCAGGGTGTTCACAGAGTAGGGTATCTGCACTTGGTATGATAGGACTGAGCTGGCTGCAGCAGTGGGCACATGACTTGCTGCCCTGAGCCTGCGTGCCTGGGCCAGGTGTGCTGTCCCCACCAGACTCATTGTGAAGTCTCCATGTCAGCCAGGCTGGCCTGCCTGTGCCAGGCTTCTCTGCAGGGATGCTCCTTTCTTAACCTCAAATTAAGCACTTCTAATACAACTTTCAAAAAATTACCTTTACGTTTTAGAAGAAATACAAAGTTTATTACAGAAAATTGGGAAGATGATAAAAGGGTGAAAAAGCAAGTAGATGTCACCTTGAACCCCATTCGCATTGGTGCATTTCCTTCTGGAGGATATGCTGTGTGGGATGCCTGAGTGCCAGTGAGGCTGTGGTCATTGGGCAGTGCTGTTGACTGTGCCTCTCACTCTCCTATTGCATTCGATGCCCTCTTTGTCCTTGCTGTCTGAGACACTTGAGTGTCTGGAGGGTGAGGACAGTTGATTCTGTAGATGCACTGTGCCACTTTAGCAGATCGTCCCTCTGCTTCTGGTTTTCATCTGGACACATTGGACCTGCTGCTGCAGTAACCTTTCTTGTGTCCAGTTCTCTGGGTGCAGCATAATTCCCAAGGTGTCAAGTGACCAAGTTGGAGATTGGGGCATTGGAAGCTCCTACTTCTTCCTTGTCAGCTTGCTCTCTGTGCCACCAGCTGTGGGACCCCAACTCATTGTCTAGATAAAGACCTGAGTGCTTAAGCTTGTTAGTAAGGTTGAGTACTTCTGTGCTGGGTATTACATGTCTTTTACATACTGTCTGGGCGTGTCTGCTTTCTGTCTCAATCATGTCATTAATTTTGGAGCTCTGTTAATTGCAACAGTGAGCTCATTTATGTTAACAACATCTAGTCATTGTTGCATGTTGCAAACCTTTCATTTATTAATCTTGTTGGATATTTTTGGAATACAGAAGTAAGACAGGTGAAGAAAGTCCTTCAGATAAATACTCATCAGTGTGGCTTTTCATATTTAATGCCTCTTTTCATGTTTTTGTTCAGCTTTCATTCTGGAATTGTTTTTTCTGTTTTCTGGGAAGTAATGGGAAGTTGGGTTCCAGCCCTGTGTGTGGAGAAGCACTTTCTTACCTCCTAAGTCTGATGCCAATTCTTATAATTTGTTACCAACTTGGCTTTCTAAGATTTTAAACTGGTTTTCAGAGACTTTGATCAGGAGGACAGCCACCTAAGACTGAAAGCTTTGGAGCCTGGGAGGTTGTCATGTTAAGCTTCCCTTAGAGCCTGTGTCCGGCCCAGGGCCTCCCTGATCCTGAGTAGCTGCACAGGCTGAGCATTCAAAGTGCTAAGCTGAAAGTTTCTGGTTTTAGAGCATTGTGAGTGCTTGACCAGTGAAGTCTATGCAAAAAGCCCACAATCTGACAAGCTTGGACTCGGAACACTTCTGTCCCAGTTGTCTGCTTAAGGACCACTCAGTAGTGATGCTGTCCCTGGGCCTGTGCATGTGGGTAAGGCCACCCTTGCTGGAGTTACTCAGAGTGTGCTGAGATGGCCAGGTCTGGTGCAAAACCACTTGACCCAGACAGAGACAGGCAGTCACCCTGCAGTGGCTTCAGTGACTGGGTTTTAGGATTTTTTGTGAAAAGGCAAAAATTATTTCCATAATTTTGTAAAACTTCAGAAAAAGTATTCTATTACCCTTTATTTTTTATTTTTGTAGTACTGGAAATTGAACCCAGGGCCTCATGCATGCTAGGCAAGTGTTCTACCACTCATTTATGCCTGCTGGTCTCCATTCCTTTTTTTTTAAGTGGGACTGGAGTTTGAACTCAGGGCTTTGTGCTTGCAAAGCAGTTGTTCTACCACTTGAGTCACACCTCCAGTCCATCTTGCTCTGTTTTTTTTTTTTTGGAGACGGAGTCTGGTGAACCATTTGCCCAGGCTGACCTTGAATCTCAATCTTCCTGATATTAGCCTCCCAAGTAGCTACAGGTGTGAGCCACTGGCACCTGGATCCATTATGCTTTTAATGTTCTCCCTCTCTCTCTGTATATATTTTTTTTTCTTTTGAGGTACCTCCGCTTGAACTCAGGACCTACACCTTGAGCCACTCCACCAGTCCTTTTTGTGTTAGGTATTTTTGAGATAGGGTCTTAGGGTCTTTCAAACTTACTTGCCTGGGCTGGCTTCAAACTGCAATCCTCCTGATCTCTGCCCCTTCAGTAGCTAGGATTACAGGCATGAGCTACCAGTGCCCCGCTTAATGTTCAATTTTTAAAGAACCCAACATTTTCCTAAGATTGAGCACTTAAATTTTTCCCATTGATACTAAACCTGCAGCAAGCAGTAAGTAGTATCTTTGTACCTAAGTCTTTTCTGCATCTGGTCATTTTCTTAGGGTGGGTTGGAAGTGGGGTTTCAGGCTGATGATTTTTGAGTACTGCTGTTGCTGCCACATGACTTTCCAGTGTTGGAATGCTGTGAACACACAGGCAAACTGCCACCCACAGATGGACCACTCGATCTTCTGATTTTAGATCTGCTGTTTGGTCAGCAGGTCAGACACTGTGGGTGGATTTTCAGGCAACAGTGAGTACTGTGTGGCCCTGCTCTTTTTATTGTGAGACCATTAAGAGGAAGGTCATTCTATGCTTGTTGGCATCTTGGGGTGCTAGTGCTCAGCTCCACTGTCTCCCCACAGCATTTGAAGACATGCTGGAGAACCCACTTAACAGCACCCAGTGGATGAATGATCCAGAGACGGGCCCAGTCATGCTGCAGATCTCTAGGATCTTCCAGACGCTGAACCGCACGTAGGCATGCCCACCAAGCACCTTGCTGTGCTGCTGTAGCAGCCTGTCGGCAGGGCAGAAGGGCCGGAGGGGACCTTGCCTGGAAGCCGTCTTCAGCGCCTGGGCCTGGATTACAGTATCATGCTATCCCTCTCTGACCTTACTGCTTATCAACTTCCGCCACGATGGTTTGTAAGGCTGCAGTTTTAGCTTCTGACAGGTGTTTACAGAAGGTGGCTGCTGCACTGGGAAGGTGAGTGATCACCTCCCTCCTGCTCCGTTGGGCTCTTGAGATGCTACTTGAATTGACCTTTAGGCGTTTGCTTGTGGAGCCCACCTGTTATTTGAAAGAAGGCATGTTCCAATCCAAAGTGTTATGTCAAGTGTGCTAATTTAACCAGAGTGATTCACAGATGACTTCTTTAATAAATAAACCTTTTCCTATTTCCTGTCTTCACGTTACTGAGTGCCAGCAAGGATGGTGCATGTCTTCTGAACATTTGCATTCTCTCAGGCTTAGTGAGCCTTATGCCTCTGCCTGAGGTGGGTGTCATTGTCACTTCAACGCTGTGGGCATCTAATAACTACACTGTATGGGCAGATCTCATGCTGGGTGGGTGACCTGTATTGGAACCAAGCCTCTGTTCCAGGTTCATAGCTGGTGGAAACTGGCATTGCAGTCATTCCCTGCCTCTGCCTTTCCTTTTCTCTCTCTTTTTTCCCTTAAACATTATCTGTGCTTTAAATTGAGTAAATGAGTTTCTCTTTTTGTGAACTGTGCTCATTATCACTGCTGAAAGTATTTAGCTCTCAGGTGTATTTTTAAAAATCCTCATCTGAAGCAGATGCACCTGCCTGTGTCCGGGAGCTCAGCTATGGCCTCTGAGTGTGTGGGACTGGCTAGGAGCCTTAGCTCTGATCCTCTTTGAGCCAACCCAGTTGCTTCTCTCCACTGGTTTGAAATCAGCTATTCCTATTCTGCCACCAGCCCCATGCCAGTGGGGTTTGACCTGCCATGTGCCCTGCCTCACCTGCTGCCCTTCTTACCTGTCTTTTGGATTGGAAAAAAACATTTTCCTCAGCTGTTGAAGAGTCATGGTTGAGGGATTCCCAGGAGCTGTGGAGTTCTTGGGGAGCATTCTATGCCCAGTGGTGGCTCTTGGCACTGTGGTCACATGCTTTCCCCAGGATCTGGTTTGGGGCCATCTTCTTGATGTCTGTTCTTTTTTTTTGATGGCACTGGGATTTGAACTCAGGGCCCTACTCTTGCTAGGCAGGTGCTCTGCCACTTGAGCCACTCCACCCGCCTTGGGGGCATCTTCTTGATGTGATGTGAGTGTACACGAGATGGCGAGTGGCCAGGCTGATGCCCACCTGTGTGGTGTTTGCACTGAGAAACTAGTATAGTATAGAAGTGGCTTCAGAAACAGAATCTTCAGAGGGAAGGGGTTTGCTGCTCTCATTGGGTGGTCCTGCAACTGTGGCTTCTGCCTAGTTGGCATTCCTCCACTGGTCTTGTGCTTCCTCTGGCCTCAGCCTCTGAGTGTTCTTCCTCCAGTCCCAACTGCAGGTAAGTGTGGACCCGTGTTTTAATCTGGTTGTGGCTTCATTATTCTTCTGGGAAGAACATGCCCACTGATGTCACACCTGTGACTGCCAGCCTCACTGGGGCTGCAGAGAGCAATTCTCTGCCACTCTCACTCTGGCCACTGCAGGGCACTTGGATTGTTGGTGGGGCCTGCCACTTGGGCATATGGTCTGCGTAGGGCCACTGGTGAGTGCAGTGTGCCTGGCAGGTATGTAGGGCCAATGTTGCATCTCAGTTAAATGAAACGACTGTTGAAGTCTTCGTTCTGCATATGGATTTGAGTTGAGCTCAGTGACTAGTAACGATGCTGGTTGTTTCCCCTTGTGCTCGTCACAGTGACCTGCAGAAAGGAAGAACGTTACATGTGCCCAAGTTGGCTTTAAGCACAGCTGTCTCCTGGCTGCTGGTGGCCAAATGATTTCTTAGCCAGTTTGGGGCAAGTTGAGCTGCTGAGTTGTGTCTGGTGTGATGTGGGTGTGGGACTGGGGACACCTGCATAGATGGGCTAGGGCACATTCATTGCGCAGCTGTGTTATTTGGGTCCTGGAGGCCCTCCTCTTGAAGACCCTCAGTTGGTGCTCCTGCTGTGCTGGGGCTCAGTCTCAGCTGCTGGGGGCGTGTGGAAAGGCCAAGGGTCTGGAGCACAGCCTTCCTGAAGGCAGGGCTGCTCTGTGATTTCAGATTCCGAACTGGCTGGCCGTGGTGGGGTTTAGGACACTTGATGGGATGGCCAGGTGGGAGGGGGCTAGGAGCACATGAGCACCACAGGCTCCAGGACCCTGAAGCTGCCCAGAGGAATGTGACAGCAGTGCCATGGTGGACCTTGCCCCAGCTAGGTATCATGTGGGATGGGCTCAGGGCCTGGCTGTGAGTTTTGCTCCCCAAATTTTCTTTTTCACAATTTCCACTCTGGGCCTGTAGACGGTTATCAAATGGTTTATTTAAGAGAATTAAGCAGCATGTTTTGTTATAAAATGCTAATTTCCATATACTGACATGTTTCTAATAGTGGTCCTTTAAGATGAACAGGCAGCCACATTTGATTTGGGTGCTCCACATTTAGATCAAAAGAAGCTAGAGTGTGAGAGATGCTTGTCACAGGGCAGGGTTAGGAGGGCTGTATATGTGTGGAGACCACACCTCACAAGCCTGGAAGGCCTCGGTGATTCTGGGGGACTCTCAGGAACTGGCTGTGCAGTGTCCCCCTGTAGGAGTGGACAGCCAGCCACAATGACTCCATCCAGACTTCTGTCCCCAGGCCATGAAAAAAAACAGGGAATTCCTAGAGAATTCTGAAGTGAACTGTGTGCTCTGGGAAGGCCCTGTCTGCTGCTTGGCAGAGTGTCCAGTGTTCTGCTCATTAGGAAGCACAATTCAAAGAGAATAGGCACCTGCCCAGTATTGTTATTCAAAACAGTTATTCAGAAAACAGTAATGTGGCCATTCTGATGAGGAGGCCAAGCCGTCCCTGTCTTTCCCACAGGGCTGGATAGGGAGAAGTCTTCGAAAGCGCTATGTCTTCAGCTCTTCTTGGAGGATACAAAGGCTGATTTGAAAGGTTCAGGTCAAGGACTAGACAGACCTTTACCCAAGCTTGGTGTGACTGACACTAGGTGATGGTCTTGAAGGGTGGTCTCCAAGAATGTCTGTGCCATGCCCTGGTTCTGCTGGCTTGGCCATCTTGGGGTCATTTTAGTGGCAAAGGCTGGATTTTGGCTCTTCTCCAGGGCAGGCATGGTAACCAAGTGAGCCAGGTCTCAGAGATGTAGATTATTTTCCCTGGGAACCAAATGGTTCATGGAGCCCAAGGGTCCTGTGGGGTAGGAAGGTAGGTATGAAGCCCTGAGACTACGAGGCCTAAGCCACACCCCCTCCCCACTTCAGCTGGTCTTTCAGCTTCCTATCTTTATTAGGTCCTCATTGGACCTCTTGTCCCAGGCAGCCTTAGCCTTTATGCCCCCCACCCTTCCAGTATGAGCTCAGTATGACAGTGTTGTGGCTGGTCCTCAGTGGCCTGGTCCTCTGCTTCATGTACAGAGCCCCCAGTGTCCACTGTATTTCACTGTGGGGTCAAGGGGTCTTAGGTTAGGGGAGAGCTGCTTGGGCAGGTGAGGGTGTGAGGGGAGCAAATGGCAGAAGAATGTGAGGAGAGGAAAATGGCAGAAGTAATTTTGTCTTAGTTAAGAGACAGGAAGGCGTCCTTAAATGCAAACATCTAAGAAGACATGAGCAGGCCTCTCACCAAGATAGTAAGATACAGCAGTCTTTTGCCTGGATAAGGGAGACAAGGAAGCATCTTTAAAAACAAACATCAAAAATGATGAGAAACAGGCTCCTCAAGGAAAGTAACACACAAACCTCCCACCAAGATAGCAAAAGGCAGTTATAAAATGAAAATGGTGGGACTCAAGGCCAGAATGAGCTGACCAGACCCTCCTGGCATGCCCAGTTCGATAAGGATGGTGTGACCAGGTGGTTAGGTTCAGGGAGAAGTCAACTAAAATGACATCCAATCACAAACTAGTTTCAAAACAAAACAAAACTAGTTTCTAGATAGAATAGGAGGATCTAGACTTCAGCTGTTCTTTGGCTTTGCTCCTTATTAAGTCCCACCTCTAAGGCTGCTTTGCTGTCCTTTCAATAAACTTTGTGCTTTGCTTTACTCTTAACTCCTGTTTGGCGTCTTCAGTCATTGGCTTCTCCAGGACATGAATTCGCGATCAACAATCCAGTTTCAAGGGGGTGCCAGAGTGCAGGGAGGGGAGGGCGCAAGATCGCTGCAGACATGGAAAACCAGAAGACATGCAAGGTGCACAGAACGAGTGGAGAACGAGTAGGGATGAGGCCAGGGAGGACAGAAGGGCACTGGAGGAGGGATGGGAGACAGAAGCCGGGGACTGGGGTAATAGGGACTTGATCTACTTGCTGCTGTTCACACCACGTGTCCCTACCTGTCCCTGACCACCCTTCAGGAGGTTGGAACCCAGGTCTGGTGTAGGTGATGGTACGGCCATGTCCTCAGTTTAGGCTGTGTGGTCCACAGCTTCATGACAAATAAGGAAGCAGTGTCCATCCCATTCATTCTGTTCTTCAGAGTTGCTGGCATCCCAGTGCCTGTGCAGGAGGGGGTCCTGGGCTGCATGAGGCTGGGCATGCCAGGTGTTGGGCAGTGGGCTACAGCTGGTGAAGGGCCACAGTGTTTCAGAGAGGAGCTCTGGGGAACTGTGGTCCCAGATGCAGCAGGGCTCTGCATGGAATCCTGGGTGGTATCCCCTGCTTGCCTTTTCCCAGGAGCCTGAAGGCTGGATGAAGAGCATTTACAAGCAGCTGCAGGAGAGAACAGCAAGCAGAGGGGAGGGGAGAGCCCCCAGAAACCCAAGGGGGCTGCACAGGCTGACCATGCAGGAGCAGACAGCTGCCCCAGGGCAGGACAAGCATGCATGCAAGGCTGGACTCTATTTTTGTGTGTGTGTGTGTGTGTGTGTGTGTGTGTGTGGTACTGGGGATGAACTCGGGCCTCATGCTTGCTGTGTGAGTGCCCTCTTTACCATGCCCCAGTCCTGGAACTCAAGCTTAGTAAGTCCTGGATAAACTTAGCATTGTTAACTAATTATTATTAATCTTGGCTATTACTGTGGTTTCTGTCCTCCAGTACTCATTCCTACCGAACCATCTAATTCCTTTTGTAAGGGAGAACTTGAGTGTAAGTTAATTAGTTCACTTAAGTTTAAGATTTGGTACTTTCTCCGTGGGGGGAGTGGCAGTGCAGCCCTGTGCTAAGCTAAGCATGCCCTGGATGCTGGACGGGTGGCCGGCGTGGATCTGGAGAGGCTCTGGCCCCTTTCATACAGCCTTCTGTGTAAAGTCCCCGTTAACGCCTTGATGAAAACATTGCACACCCTCAACACTTTAAGGATATTTAAAATTTGGCTCCTTTTTTTTTTTTTTTAAGTAATACGTGCAGGAGGTGGCATAAGTCTTAGGTTTTGTGTGTACTTGTGCCCAGATGTGCCCTCCCCTGATGAGAGACGACGCTGTCATGTATCCCTCGTGCTAGGCAGAAGGCAGGAGAACAGAGCTGTAAGCAGGACAGACCGTCTTCCTAAACAACAGTGAAACTGGGCCAGATCTGAGCAGTTACTGTTACCACACTATTTCTAACACCACACTGCCATCATTAGGCCCAGTAATGTTTTGACCTTGTTTCAATATTAAAAAAAAACAGAACTTGTTTTGCTGTAACAAAAAATTTTTCTTTTGTTAAAAATCTTTTTTCCTTGAGGGGATAGTGGAATGGCTCAAGCAGTAAGACTGCCTGCCCAGCAAGCCTGAGGTCCTGAGTTCAAGTCCCAGTACTGCCAAAAAAAAAAGCCTGGAGGAACAGTTCTTGATTTTAGTGTATATCTCTTGTACAGAAGGGTTCCACCATGCATATATTTCCATACGGATATGTTGTGCTTTCTTTTCCCTGTCCCCCTCCTCATTTTCAAGTTTAGTGGATTTCGCTATTCCGTCTTCATATGTAGACTGTCCTTTGATGTTTACCTCATCATCTTTCTGTCTCTCCCTCCCGTACCCCAGCACAGGACTTTTTCTCAACTCAAGGCCCCATGGTTGCTAGGCAGGTGCTCTATCACTTGAGCCATCTTTAAAAGAGCACCTTACATGCTCTTTTAAAGTTGTGGTAAAATACACGTAATACAAAATTTGCCATTTATCTTTTTGGGTTTTTTAGGTGGTGCTGAGGTTTGAACTCAGGGCCTCACGCTTCCTAGGCAGGCCGCTTGAGCCACTCCACCAGCCCATTATCTTTTTGTTTCGGAGACAGTGTCTCACTGTGTTGCCAAGGCTTGTCTTGAACTCCTGGGCTCAAGTGCTCTTCCTGCCTCAGCCTCCCGAGTGCTGGGACCACAGTGCACACTACCTCACCTGGGTCGTAGTACCACTTTTTGAGTGCACAGTTTAGTGGCCTTAAGCACACTCAAGTGTTGAGTAGTCATCCCCATGTTCCTCCACAGAACCCTCCCATCTTCCCAAGCTGACACTCTCTCTGCTAGCACAGACTCACCTTCTAAAGTGTGCACAGCCTACATACCTTGAGGTCAGTGTGCCTGACCTCAAGATGCCACACAACAGCTCTGGGAGGGGAAGCTATTTTACAGCTGGGACCCGAAGCAGGAGTGGGCACGTGGCCTACCCAGGCTCCCATGGCCCCCAGACAGCCAGGATGCAGCTCCACTGACCTGTGAGACCTGGTGTCCATGCTCCAAGTACTCGCGGGAAGTAAATGCCATGTGGAGTCACACACACAGCATTGTGGGAATAGCACTGCCAGGGCTCTGGTGTGGCATGCATCAGGCATGCTGTTCCCAGGGGCATCTTAGCAGTTTCTTTTCACAGATGGATCCAGGGCTGGCACCCATGTTCTACACCGCAAACACCTGTCAACAGGAAGCAGACCTGGGAAGGGACAGTGATTTGGAACATTTTGGGGCTCTGTCTCCAAGCAGCATTTAGTTTTTTTGTTTGTGGTTTTGAGACAGGGTCTTGCTATGTAGCCCAGGCTGGCCTGGAACTCACAATCTTGCCTCTACTGAGGGCTGGGATTGTAGGTGTGCACCACATCCACCTCCTGTGTCTGATTTTGCTGAGCATTCTCTGTGCAGAGATGGTGCTTTGGGTGGGGAGCTCAGAGGGGTCTGGGGAGTCCTCCCCTTCTTGCCCCTCACTCTGCCTGGCCTGGGTGGGAAGTAAGCCTGGGTGGCCACCTCAGTGGGCCATGGAGCCTCCTATCAGCAGGAGCTCCTGCTTCACTCCAAAGTGTGGGTGCCACTAGGGTCACAGGGTGCAGGAAAGACTCCTGGGAACACTAGGACACCCAACTAGTGGGGTGGAGACAGATAGCTAGCCCAGTGCCATGGGCCAGTAAACATGGGGTGATGAGCATGTCCTGGGCAAATGCACTCATAAAGACCCTCACTCAGCACTTCAGGAGCACCTTGGACTGACCTGTCCCCCCACCCTACTGCAGTGGCTTCATCTGGACCTCCTGAGATTCTTCAGAGCTTCCTGTTCAGGGTGGTGTGACCCGGCCCAGGGGCCTTTGCATTGCTCCTGTGGCTTGGGCTGCCTCTGTGGTCCCCACTGTCTGCAGAAAAACCAAGTGCAAGTCCAGACAGCAGTACTGAGCAGAGCCCCAGGCCATTTTGAAGGGGTACAAACAGAATCTGGGTAGGATAATAATAAACATGCTGGGTATGGCCTGAAGTCTCAGAAACTGGTGATGATGGACGTTGTGTCCAGATGCACATTTCAGGATCCCTATAACGGGACATGATTCCTACCTATAGCATATGCTGTGTGGGCCCACCAGCTCTCCCACTCAGGCAGGATAATCCTGGGCACAGAGCCTCTGGGTTGCTCTGGGTCAGTAGTGCATGGTCCTGTCCTTCTGTGCTCTGCCTCTCTACTACGAAGCCAGTGAAAGTCAAGGTTTTTTTCTCCTGTCTGCATCTTTTTATTAAAGAAAATCTCAAAGATATTCAAGGGTGTGCCTGCCACCCAGATCCCAGCTGTTTTTCCTACACAGGGCTTCCCACCCCTAAGCAAAGGCCAGACAGTGTCTGTCCCTGTAGCACCTTTCAGGTAAGGACTCTTTGGGTGAAATTTTTTTGGTGTTGGGTACCCAAAACCACCATCCACCTAAAATAGTTGCCTTGGCACTCACTAGCAGCAACTAGGAACGCCTCCTCTCACTGGCAAGGAGCTTAATTAGAAGCTTTATTCATACACAGCTGGCCATGCTAGGCCTGGCCTTGGAAGGACAGACTTCCATGGTGGGAATGAATGTGAGGAAGACAAAAAGGTCATTAGTGACCCCTGCACTTTCACTTGGTGCTTACTATCAGAGTTCCTGCTTATCTTCCAGGAAGACTTCATGGAATCAGAGTTAAAATAATGAAGATGTCACTTTTTCTTACATAAGTGAGTTAATGAAAAGGTAAACCTGCCTTTTCCACCCACTGTATTGGGACTATGCTTCCACTGCAGATCCTGGCAGCCTCATTTGGGCAGTTTTGTTTGCACTCTGTCCCCAAGGCTTAAATCCCACCAAGCATGTGGAAGGGCTGGGGTCAACTGGGCACTCAAAATCCTCTAAATAAGGGAATGCAGGGCAGCCTGTGGCTGTCCTGAGCCCAAGGGAGGACACTGGCAGAGGCCTGGAGTGGCCAGACTTCCCATAGGTGGCAAGCGTTATGTCTGAGGAGGCTGAAAAGCGTCTGGGTCCCTTGGCAATTTATCTGACATGAGGGCAGAGCCTGGAACCAGCATTCTTGAGAAGACAGGTCAGAGAGCCAGGGGCTGGAGGATGTCTGTCATCCTTGCCTGGGGGACACTGAAGGGATCCAATTGAGGGGTGGCTTCTTCCTGCTCCCAGCTGGGGGCTGGTCAGAGAGGGAAATCACTCCTCAGCTGGGAGCAGGAAGTGCTCTACCACCCAGAGCCTGTCCTTCCTTGCAGGACCTCTGGCTGCTGGATCTTCTGCCTGCTCTCTCCCCCACATGGCCCAGTGTTACCATCTACCCCTGCACCTCCCTTGACAGCTCTGAATGCCTTCTCAGGTATTCTCAGTGAGGGGACCTATGTTGCACCACTGGTGGGACACCTCCCAAGGAGGTGGGCAATGCTGCCCCTTCCTGCAGTTCAGATACCTGTCCCAGACCTTCTCTTGTCTAAGCCTGGTCTTAAGCCAGTGTCAGGGCCGTCAGGGACCCAGCCCCAGCCCACCGTCCTGCCTTCTCTTCTGCTATGGAAGGAAAAGGAAGGATTCCCCACTAGGCTCCTGGCCAGTTACAGACGCCAGCCAGCAGCTCTCCTCTCTTGAGCATCGTCAGGCCTTCCCACTGCTGCGGCATTCCAGTGAGCATCCAACATGGCGTAATCTTGCCCACGTCACTCTACGTCACGTGCCCTCCCCTGAGTCTCTGCTCCCCTTTACAGCAAAACTGGAAGAAGTGTGAACACTTATCGTGGGGATTTCTGTCCCTGATCCCCACTGCTTGCCACAAAACTGCTTGTCAGGGATGCCAATGTATAATCCAAGTCACACCCTGGACTCCTTGTCCTGGCCTGGCCTTTCCCTCTTCGTTAAGCATAACACAGTCCTTAGAATTGCTCAGGCCTAACCCCCTGAGCTTCACTAAAATGGACAATTTCCTAGAAAGCCAAAAGCCATGGAACCCATCTCAAGAAGAAATAGTCAGTGATGAGATGGAATTAGTGATCAAAAGTCACTAAGTCCAGACCCAGGTGGCTTCAATGCTGAATCCTACCACACACTTAAAGAATTAGCACCCATCGTTGCAAATTCTTGTGGAAAACAGAAGGGAAAGGAACACTTCCACTTCCTTCTGTGAAGCCAGTAGTATCTGTTAGCAAAACCAGACAAAGACATCACAAAAACACTACAGGCCTCAAAAGAACAGCAAGCTGAATCCAGGCATTTACGCCATGACCAAATGGAATTTATCCAGGAATGCAAGCGTAGGTCACTATCTGAAAATCAATCAATGTAATACACCACACTAACAGAATGGAAAAAACCCACATGATCAATAGATGAAGAAAAGCAGTGGACAAAATCCACTGTTTCATGAAGAAAGCACTCAACAAACAGAATAGAGGGGCATCTATGAGAAACTTCAGCCACATTGCAGTTAGTAACAAATTGGACAAGACAAGGACATCTGCTCTCCACACACTCCTGGAGACTCTAGGCAGGGCAGCCAGACGGGAGGAAATAAAAGGCTCCAGGTTGGAAAGGAACAGATAAGGCTCCCTATTCACAGGTGACAGGGTCTTGTATTTACAGACCCCTTAGGAATTCACTGGGAAACAGTGGGTTCCCAGGCCTGCAGGATACAAGACCAGTGCACAAGAGCACTTGGTCCTCTGACCCATTCTCCTCCCGCCACACCCATCTGTCACCGTGTCCAGCTCCTTGCCTTGCCCTTTTTTCCTCTGTGGTGTCTCACTGTAATCCCAGCTATTTAAGAGTCAGAGATGCGGAGGATCCCGATTGGAGGCCAGCCCACAGCAATAGAGCTGGGCGTGGCGCACATCTGTCATCCCGGCTATCGTGGGAGGCTGCGGTAGGAGAACCCGGGTCCTACATCCTAGGGGCTCTCCGTCTGCGGTATCCTAGTCCCCCGCACATACTTCCCGAGACAGCCCAACACCAGACCTTTGCTTCCTGCCTGTCTCCGCTCAAATGCCCCCTCCCGGCCCTTCCTGACTGCCTCGCCCGCTTCTTGATGTGACTGCGCGTGTCCTTCCCTCCCCAGCGCCTGACGTCAGCACCTGAGTGCGCTGTCCACTCGAACACGCCTTCTTTCTGGGGGGTGTGTGTTGGGGGGGCTCGTCTCCGCCAAGTACACAGAGGCTAAGCACCTTCGAGCCGCTCCCAGGGCGTTCCCTTCCCGGGGCTGGTGCCTGCGCGGTCAGTCTCCAGCTAGGTCCTATGCGAGGTGTCACGGAAGACCTAACTCCAAGCCCACCCAAGCCCTAAACGCTGACTCCGTGAGGATGAAACCAGCGCCCCCGCTGGAGCTGCTCTCGGGTTCGGTCTCCGGGCCCCGCGCGCTCCGCCTGGGCTGTGGTGTCCCGGGGTTGCCGATGGACAACGCAGGCGACTTGGGTAGGGATGGGCCCTGCCTGCGGCGGCTGGGGACCTATAGCCGGGATGATTCAGTCTCAAGGAGCAAGAGCTCGCTTAGCAATGCCTGCCGCCGCGGGCTCCGCGGGGATGAACAGACAGCACCACGCGCTCAGCAGAAAGGGGAGGGGCGAGGCCTCACGGCGTCTGCGGAAGGGGGCGGGGCGAGTCGGGTCCGGGGCGGGGCTTCGGGAGTGACTACTGCGCCTGCGGAAGAGGGCGGGGTGGGCGTGGGGCGGAGGTGGGGCGGGGTTTGTCTACTGCGCTTGCGGAAAGGGGGCGGGACGAGGGTGGGGCCGGGGCGTACCTACTGCGCCTGCGGGAGGGCGGGGCCGGTAGGGACGGGGGGGGGCTGCAGGCGGTGCCTACTGCGCCTGCGGAAAAGGAGCGGGGTTGCGGGAGGCGTGAAGTGCGCCTGCGTGACGGGGCGGCTGTGCGCTCGCTCCCGCCCGTTGGCCACCGCCTCCCCGAAGCCGCGCACGCGCCACCGCCACCGCCGCCGCCCCCGGCCCGCGCCCGCCCGCCGCTGCCTTCCCGGCCCGCTTGGCACCTCCTCGGCCTCGGCTCGGCGCCCGCAGCATGCAGCAGCAGCAGCCTCGGCGGCGGCGGCGGCGGCCGTGAGGCGAGGGCCGTGCGCCCCGGCGGGCCGGCGCGGCAGGGCGGCGGCGCCTTTGTTGAGGCCGGGCCGCCGCGGCCTTTGTCTGCAGATGGTGGACGCCGGCGGCCGCCCCGCCGCGGAGGGCTGGAGAAGAATGGAGGCCCCACCGGACAGCGCCGACCTGGTGCCGCTGGATCGCTACGACGCGGCGCGGGCCAAGATTGCCGCCAACCTGCAGTGGATATGCGCGAAGGCCTACGGCCTAGGTGGGCGGGGGCGGCGGGGGTCGGGGACGGGGGATGGGGACCCCCCGGGGGACGGATGGAGTCTGGGGCTGGGACAGGGTCGGACAGGGACAGGGCTGGGGACGAGGCCGGGGGACGCGACGCGACAAGGCCGGTCACCGGGCCGGGGCCAGGGCGCGCCTTCGCGCGGTGTCCGCCGGCTCCCCTCGGCCCCGGCCCTGGCGGCGGCCCCGGCGAGCGCGGCTCTGCGGTCCCTTGCGGTCGGTGCTGGCGCGGGCCTGTGCGTTCGCGTGTCGGCCAAGCTCCGAGTCTCCCCTGGGGGCGGAGGGTGGCCGCCTGGTGCTGGGTGCAGTGTCCGCCCCGGTGTTTCTCTCCGGTCCCTGGGCCGGTCCTCTGGCTCTGAGTGCAAGAAGGGACCCAGTTACTTGGATAGCCACTGCCCAGACCGTCTACCGCACGGGGGCAGCTGTAAGACCTAACGGCCTGAGACCTGGTCCAAGGGGACAACCCTTGATTCTCGGCTACCGTCCTTTATTATGAATTTTGATACGTACACAGTTCCCCAGCTAGATAAGTTGCATATTACACAGATTGTGCAAATCTTAGTGATCCCCTTTGGTTAATTCCTGTTGTGAAGAACGAGGTAACCTTGTGATGGAGTCCCATTTGTGACGCCTAATGTGCTTAGTGGATTAAGATGCTCGGTTTCATGCTCTGGGAACTTTGCAGAGTAGGTGAAGCTGGTAATGAGTTGACTCCTAGGGCTTTCTACATGGATTTCAAGTGTTTTGTTTACTTATTTATGAATTTCCTTAATTTGAAGCATAAATTGCCTTTATTCTGGTGAAAACATCACTGATAGACTGAGATTCAGAAAAGGATTAGTTGACCAATTACGAAAACTTGCTGAGCAGGCATTCCTGTGTGACAGTGGCTTGTGCCTCACTCAGCTGGCCTCCAGTTACTAAGGACAAACGTGTTTTGTGAGTTTCAGGGATTAAATGCACTGCTTTATTTGAAGCCTGTCTTGGTGTTGTGTAAGTAGCACTTAGGAAATCGCTCTCTCTTTTCTTTTACAATTTCCAGTTCTAACAGGATTCTTTTGAACTTCACTCAGGTTCTGTATAGTGATGGAGAACTCTGCCATGTACCTGACTTGACCTGATTCAAAAGAGTAGAATTGATAAAATGTGTAAACACCTTAGAAAATGACACTGGAGTGGACACAGGCTGCTTAGTCTTGGGTCACCATCCTCCTTTGCTGGTTCTGTGTACCTCTCCCTGGCCCACCCCCTTCATGTTGATCATTGTTTTTCTTTTTTCTACTTTTCACTATACATACCACTAAGCTATATTGCTTACTTTTACATGGTTTTGCACCTTTCATAGTGATGTCTGCTGAGGTTTCCTTTCTTTATTTCACATTATGTGCTTAGGCTCCTCCTAGCTTCATCCTCATTCCCTGCATTCTTTTCTACTGTTGTGCAGTATTTCACCGAGGCCTGTCCACCCTGTGCCAGTCCATCGTTCCTGGGTACTGGCTCCGTTCTGGGTTTTTGCTGTTATACATGGTGCATTCTTCGACACAGCTCCTGGACCCTTACACAGGGCTTCAGTACTGTGGGTCGTTTATTTTGTTGTTGTTTTGGCAGTGCTTGCTTGTGCATGCTAGGCAAGCACTCTAGCACTGAACTACACCCCCAGCCTTGTGTATTTTTAAGATTGTTCATGTGAGAATAGCTTTGGTTCTGCTCATGAATGTTAGCTAGGCTCAAATACTTATAAAAAGTGCTTCTATTATTTGCCTTCTAGTTTCTTCAGTAAGGTAAGTGCATGTTTATTTTATTGCGCTTAATATTAGCATTCAGCTTGGGATGCCAGCTATCTCGAGATAAGTAATTGTCTCAGTATTGGTATTGGATTGGTCTCACTTTATTCCAGTACCAAATGGCTCTTGAGGACTTGTTGCCTCATCAGATAGTGAATAAAAAATCTGATAGTGACATGGGCTTTAAAGCTTTGGAATTTTTAGGCAGTGGATATTTGAAGAGTAGAAATGAGAGCAGGTACTAAAGACCAGATACCGTCCAGGGATTGAGCCTGGGGTGGCCTTGCTGTTTGGGGGTTGGGACCTCAGCTAGCAGAGTGCACATCATGTGGGTTTTAGAAGGTTTGGTTTCCATTTATTTTTTCTAAATGAGAAGGTTTCCATTTTATGTCTAACTTCAGAAGGGGAGCAGCTGTAATACTTTTTTAAAATTGAGAATTTTTTTTTTTCTTTGACTATACTGGGGTTTGAATTCAGGGCTTCATGCTTGCCAGACAGGCGCTCTACCACTTGAGCCAAGCCACCAGCTCCAAGAATCTTTCTTTAAATTTACAAATTTGGGAGGTCCCAATTCAGATGACCAAGAAGACTTGCCTCAGCTCAACTGAAAAGATTTCATTTACGCGTGGTTGTGCAAGTCTCAACCTTAAAACTCTTACCCTTATCTAGGGGTGAATCTTTGTTTCTTTTATGGAACTCTTCATGCACTTTTCCATTCACTGGAGATACAGTGCTTTCAATCTGGACACTTCAGTGGTAAATCATTTTTAGAGGGCTTGATGGGGAGAGTGGCTAGATCTTTTATGTGTTAAACAATTATTCATTAGGCTGGAAAATGAGAACAGTTTTCCTTTGGTGTAGGAATCAAAAATATGGTGAAACTAACTGTAGGAGTGGATGTTGGAGGCTGCTTTCTTCACTTGCCTTGGGGATTCTGTGTTCCTGGCACCAGGCTGTCATCTGTAGTAAGTGGCAGGTCCCAGGAGCTCACCCTGGCAGACCTTGGGCATCAGTAATGCAGAAACATTTTCTCTAGCTTTATTTGGCTCTGGTGCCACAGCCAAGACTTGTGGGTTGCACTGTTCTTTTATTTTTAGATTTCCCTCTTTTTTTTTTTTTTTGGTGAACTCTTGCGTTTCATTGACAGTCTTTCAGTTATTTTTCAGATGTAACTTATTGGGCATGTTGAAAATTGTTCACTTAAACATGTGTGTAAACAGGACAGGAGTTTTCTTACCTCCAAGAGTATGTGGTATTGCTTTAGGTGAAAGTTCCACTAAGTGATAGAAAAGTTTAAAGGAGTGACTTGAAATAGTATTTATTTTATGGATTAGAGTGTTGGGCTTTGGCAGACCTGGCTTTTGCTTCTAGAGCACTAGGCATGTTGTAAGTGCTCTCAGCAAATTCAGGGGCATCTAGACCTTGGTTTCAGGGGACAGCGGGGAATATCAGCTTTCATTGCTCAAGGACAATCTAAAGAACAAACAACCCAACCCAGGGAGAGTATGAGAAGGCTCTCAAGTATTTGCAAGGAGGTTGTAGTATGGCGCAGTGGAAACTGACTTGTCCCTTTGCCCTGGAGCTGAGTTACCCTGAATCTTGGGCCCAGGGCAAATCCTGGGTCTGAACAGAAGCTCAGCCTTCTTACCCTACTAGCAGTAGACTAGGCTGAAGAACTGTGGTCTGACTCTAGGATTAGGGCTGCTGGCAAGGAATGCTGCTTTTTCTTTCCCTCATGTTCTTCCAATCTGGCTGGTCATTCAAACTACTGACTTAAAAAGCATGTGGTAAAGCATAGGAGGACCTGTAGCCTGTGAAGCTGGGGTCTAACCTCATTCAGGGGAAGTCTGCACTAGAGCCCCTCTGGCAACATGCATTCCTAGTTGGGGCCATACTCCCTGGAAGCAGCCTTCTCTTGACAGCAGCATGTCTGGTTCCCAGATTAGAGGCATGTAGCCACGTTGTTCTAGGTGATGGTTTGGTCAGATTATTAGTTTATAAATTTGGATTGTGTTTTAAATAGCCTTTTGTTATTCTTGGCAAGGATGTTTCTGGGATGGGAAGGTCAGAGCAGCTTTCAGATATTTACTGAACACTGTTACACTTAACAGTATAACTGGTGCCCAGGGGCTGCTTGCTGGGCACAGTTGTGTGACCCTTCCTCCACTAGGTGTCCTGAGAGCACCTGTCTTTTTGTTGTGTGTGTGTCTGTGAGGCTTGGGGTCCTGGTTGTTGCATTTAGTGCCGTGTCCACTGTGCAGAGTGCTCAAGTGCTTGTTGAACTGAGGAATAAGAAGATGTGTTCTGTCCTGGTAGCCAGAAGAGGAAGGATTTACATTTCTAGAGATGTGTCAGCATTCTTCCAGTCCTGATGTCACAAGTTAAATATTAACTAAAGACCAGAGAGTCAAATATTAAAAAACGTAAATCCATCTTTAAGTTGAATCTGTTAGTTAATCCTTTAAGTTTGAGTGGCCCTTCAGTTATTACTGTGCTTCAGGGTGTTATCTTTGGGCAAATATTCCCCAGAGGACCCTTAATGTTTTCTTGCTTTGCATTTATCTTACTTGTAGCTATTGTTTTTGTTTGTTTCAGTAGCCCTATTAATGTTGTGTACCAGTGCCCTTTCCTCATTTCCTAGTTGCATTGTGAGAAACCTAGGCTTGCTATAATTTTTCATCTTGTCTCAGGGTGGACAGGGTAGAGCCAGTGTCACATTCATGACAGATGGTAATTGAATAGCTACTGTGTGCATAATTTTTTTGTATTATAAGAACTACAAGATATTACATAATGCTATCTGCTCTGTTGATTAAAATCCCCACAAAATATGGAGGAACAGGAATAGTGCAGGAGTTCAAAGATAATGGTGTGCTATCATGGCAGAGTGCCTAGAGGCTACAGAGGGGAGTTTCTGGGTGCTTACAGGGATGCTGAAGGAGGCTTCATGGGTTGATAGGGTTTAAAAGATGGAGAAGGCTTGGGTAGCCCCCAAGAGTGGAGGGAAGGGTGTCTGGCTGCACCACTATGCAGCAACCAAGTGTTTTCAGACACTGAGTCTGAGTAGATTAACCTTGTTGAGGTAGAGGCAGTGTGGACTGAAATAGTAGGTGATTAGTTTGGAAATAGTTTGGGGCCAGATTGTTTATAGTGTTCATGCTGCCTGGAGATTTCTTTTATTGTATGTCCCTGT